AGAAACAGAAGTCCAGCTGTGGTGTTCACTGTGGACAGACTGAAAACTGAGAATCAATACGAAATGTGTGCTTACGGTAAAAGTGATGCTGGGAAAAACAAATGCACTGTTGTGTATTTTCAAGGAGGCGGAAGGCCTCTCGGGTGCTCTGATTAGCTGCTAGCCAGAGAGCTAGGATGAAACGTGCTCTTTAGAAATGAAGTAAGGTCAAAAGATTAGTTTTTTCTTTATCTTTTAGAGTTTTCTTTATTTGTTTGTTTGTTTTTTTGATACTAGGGATTGAACTCACAACCTTGCACTTGCCAGGCAGGTGACTGAGCTAACCCTTCAGTCCCTTCTTTATCTTTTAAATGTTAGACTTTTTAAAGTGTTCTTGTAGATCCCGCTACTGTCCAGATTCACTTTTCTGGTGAACTGACCTCCCCAAATTTGAGATAATGGAAGAAGAAGTTGAAACAGTAGTTACAGTTACCATATACTACAGGATAAGAGCACAAACAAAGTATCAAGGGTCACTTCTATCTCACCTTGTCCATGAATACTCTCATCTGTTAACCTCCTAAGGAGGCAGAACTGGATTAGAAAACTTAGAGAATAAAGAAGGTTGGGATCCTACCGTTATGTTAACAAACCAAGCAACTTGAAAATGAACAGTTTTTTAAAACTATGAGCCACTGAACAACATAAATTTTTAAAATTGCTAATCTTAGAAATTGAGAAATCCAACTAAGTGCAGGTCACCTTGTATTTCCTGTTAAAGCTGTCTACTGGAGTCATGTAGAATCTTAGGGATTACAAGGGCTTTAGGCACATTCTAGTTTCACCTTCTAATTTTGGAGAGAAAAAAACATGGCGCCAGAGATATTCAGGTTTACTCAAAAATGTCAATTGTGTAGATCAGAAAGTAGTCTCTGAAATACCATCTTCAGATGGCCTATTTCTACTGTACTCTATCTAAAAATTTGATGATTATAAATTGTGTTAAAAACAAAAAAATTAGAGGATATTTTAAGAACGTTTTGTTCTAATTGTCCAATAAACCTCCTGAAGAGAGGCCTACAAACTCAGCTATTTTACATTTTAATATGAATTATCCATACGAGGTAGACTGAAAAGAGCATTTAATGTGAATGCTAGACTTTGTATTCACATAGGACAGCTTTCTAAGTATCACTAACTGTTGCCAATAATCTGTTTTAAAACTGTAGGATGAAGCCAGTATTTTTGCTTAGAGAAAGTTCTAATGGAATGAGTGAAGGAGGTAGCTAAAAACAGATTGAGATAAGGGATTTAAGGAGGTGTTTGTAGTTCTAGTATCCAGAACTGCTTGATGTTAATAGCTCATTTTCAAGGGTTCTGAGAAATTCCCATGAAGGTAATCTTTAGACAGTTAGGTGTATAGCAGGAAGAAACAAGTTAGAGAAAGTGTTCTGCTATTGACATGCAAATGTATAAAAATATAGGGCATTGATAAAGGAACAAAGGAGTTCAAACTTAGAAGTAACCTGGGATAGGATATCAGACCTTAGAATTGCAAGGTGTGATCAAAAAATACAGTAAAGATTTAAAATTGAATTACAGTGAGACACATTGCTATCAGTCCCCCTCAAAATACTTCTCACTTCAGACACACTTACTCTGTCATCTTGCCACTTTCTGAAGAAGTTCTGAAAGTTACCTTTCATGAGTGTCTTCAGTTATACTGTGATGGCTGCTTTAATGTTTTGAATTGATTCAAACATTACCTTTTACAGTCATTTTGACAGTAAGAACCAGAAGTTGAATCAACATTTCTGATGAAAACGTGGATGAAGACACATCCTAGTGGCCTTATGAGCTTGCCTTTCATTTGGGTGCCACTTGGCAGCAACACTCGCTGTTTTTTGGTGTTTTTTGGTGTTTTTTTTTTTTTTTTTTTTTTTTTATCACATCCTGTAAAGATGTGAAAGAAGACTTCCAGAACTGCTTCAGAAAGTGACAAGAGTGGTGGGATGAATGTGCTTGAAATGAAAAGAGCAATTTTGAGGCAGTGAAAAACTATATAACATTTGCTGCAATAAATTTTTCAAAATAATTTTAAACCATTACCATACATTTTAATCATACCTTGTATATTCAGAATTGCTGAATATAATAAAAATAGCAGTAGAGATTTAGGGAAAGGTGGTCACTAGCCATGTTTGCATTCTCCTCTCATGAAGTGGTTAAGAATGAAAGCCAACTTCACAGTTATGTATGTTGCTTGTGACTCATCTGAGCTCTAAGCTTAGTAGAAAGGTTGCCTTGAATCTTTCCCACTGTCTCTGAATTCCCAACAGTGTTACCTTCATCAGTGACCTATGCTTCCTTGTCTCTTGTTTCTTCTTCGGTAAAACTGATGAAAAAACAATACCTTCCTCAAATTGCAGACTCAAGGAAGAATAGGATACATACATAGTGTCTGGCACAAAATGAGCTATGGAATCGCTGGGTATTCATTTGGCTTCTGTTACAACTAATACATTTATACAATTTTGTATATTTTCTCACTTGTTTTTCTAGGACAAATAAAATTGACATAGATACACAAAGAATAATCCATGTTAGAGGCTCGTACAGGATTTGAGTGTCCTCAGGAAGATTGTATGTCTTAAGACAGTGTCTATATAGTGGCATATCGCATTATCCAGTCTTTTTGGAGACCCACATATCCTTCTCCCCATTAAGAGCAGCTTAATCATCTCTTTCTGGTCTGTGCCTCTGCAAAACTTCAGACTCTTAACAACTTCATGAAATAGGAGAGTTCTTCACATACAAGTGTCACATGGCTACCAAAATACACATCTGTATAGAAGGACCAGGACTATACTTGGGGAGCTGGTGATGAGTTACCAGGTGGAGGTTCTGAACCCTACCACCCCATAGATTGGTGACACTTAGTATACTACAAGATGCTTTCACATACTGCAGTGTGTTTGATTTTCTCAGTACTGCAGCATGTGAAATAAAAAAGTTTTCATCTCTTTATTTTGACTATAGTATCTGGATCTACTCTTAATCTGTTTGCATTATTAAAACATTTCCAAAGTATAAGGTTTATTCTCTCTGCACTAGTCTTCAGTTTCTAAAATGGTCTGTTCTGTAACCACGACTGTTAAGTTTACAACAGACAGACTCTTGTGGGACCTTTGACGTGGGATTTGATTTTGCTTGTTTTGGAAATTTGCACTAATTTGAAGACAATAGAAAGATCTGGCACCTTCTATTTCATTCTATAGGTTCAGATACCACTGAATATCACTGTGGATTTTGGCTTGCTAAATATCTTTGTAACAGTGGGATTTTGCTAATTTTAATGCTCCTTTTCAAGAGGAAAGCAGAGCTCGATATTTGTACTACCACTGCAGCTATTTTATTAACATGTTAAATTATAATCAAGGGCTGTTCTAAAAGCTCATCAGACTTCCTGACATCCTTTTTAAACGGTAGAAGTATAATTCAGCCAAATTTCGAAGCCACTGCTATCGTGCCTGTCCCCATCCTCTGTAGTCCCCTCTCCCGGGACAGTCACACAGTGGCCTGAGCTGAACCATCAGCCACTGTTGGCCTATGAGGTATGATAAGCAGTGGCTGCTTTCCCCTTGTTGTGACTTCCTCAAAAATAGTTTTGAAATTAATTTTGTTTTATCCTGGCCTGGAGAGATTTGTAGACCAGTGTGGAAAGATTTACTTGAAGAAAGTGTGGGGTTTTTGTTTTTTTCTCGGTAAAGTGTAGGATTAAAATGTAAAACCCTGGCTTCAGGTTGTTCTCCAAGGCCTGGGGTTCTGACCCCAGTCTGTGGAACTGTACAAAATGCAATGCTAGGACAGGTAGTAACTGCCCCACCATCAAGAGCCATGTGAGCAGATTGTACACGTTTTTCCACCAGGGAGCAGGGATATCTGTTGGTCTAAGGCACCCTTGAGAATATCTGAAGTTTTTCTTTCCAGGCCCATTTGATCACACACAAACCTAAAGCCACACAGGTGTGCAGAAATCCTAACCACTGCACCGTTTTGGGTGGTCTCTCCTCAGTGCAGCAGAGCCCACAGCCAAGTGATGTGATTGCACTCTGCAGAACCACGGTTGGGGGTATGGCCGTAGGTCCTCCTTGTTTCTAGATGGGAGACTGACTGGCATAGTTTTGGAATAGGTCTTTGAATCTCTTAGGCTTCAGTTCTTTTCAGCTCAGGCACACTGTTATTTTTTTTTTTTTTTCCTTTTTCCTTTTTATCAGTACTGGGGATCGAACTCACGACTCCCTGCTTGCAAGGCAGGCGCTTATGCCGCTGAGCTAAATCCCCAGCCCCACACACTGTATTTTCTACCCACACTCCTGGACTGTTACAGCCAGAGGGCTGGGGCTGGGACTTGTATATGTTCCTTGTGTTATCTGCCATGCCATGCCACGCCACGTATTATTCTGCTTCCTTATCTGAAACAGTAACCTAATGTTGGCTGCATCAAATGAAACTCTACTTCAAAATTTTTACCTGTGCAAGAGTCTGAATAAGCTAACTGAAAAAGTCTGTTTAACAACTGGCTGTGTCCTTTGTTCAGTTTTGGAGCCAGTTTCCTTCTTCCACGAATTCCACCCAGATGGAGCACGTCAGTACTATCCTCAGTGTGGCGTAGGACCTGGCCGTCATTGTGCCCTACTTAGTATTACTGTATCCCTAAAAGAAAACAACTTTATACCATAGCGTGATTAAGTTCTCATTTAAATTTTCTCCACGGTTCAGAAGATGTCCCCTTTTTCTACCATTGGAGACTTCAGAAATCTGAAAATTGGTTTGAGAGGACCATCCTAGTCAGGTAGAAGAACCGGCGATTTAAAACCAGTGTTTCAAAATAGATGCATTCTACTTAGTGTCTTCCCATGGTTTGCATGGCTGTCATCTGGATGCTCTGGAGGTCGGGTGCTACCATGTGTAGGCCTCTAGCGGTGATAACCTTTTCTTTTTTTCTTTTTCATTTTTAGGACCAGGAAGAAAACAAGGGAGCTACAAGTTGGCCCGAATTCTACATTGATCAGCTCAATTCCATGGCTGCTGTAGGTATACTTTATGTTCTGTGACACACAGTTAAAAATCTAGCACAAAATACAAAATTGCACAATAAATCCAATTGAGTAAGACCTACCAAATACCTTTCTAAACTCCAATCCAAGTGTTGGAGGGAAGTAATGGGATAGAAGTGTTACTTGGCAAAGCAAACTTTCTAGTATATTTTAAAATAAAATCTACACACACTAAAATAGAATCAACTTTAATGTTACAAGAGGAAACATAATCTGAAATCTGGCCTGCATTCAACTTGCAAATGCCCTAAGTGATCATGTGGAGCTTTGCAGTGCTATTCCAAAAGTTGATATCATTTAAAAATAGTATGACTGCTATTCCTTCATTATACTCCTCTCATTCTCTTTCTTACTGAGAACTTGCTTCCTTCTTGATATCTTGATTTTTGCAGGGACCGGGATGCCCTTTTTCTTATCAAATAAATAAAGAATCCATGGAGTGACTGATTTAACAGAATAATAGAGCTGGGCTGTCCTCAGAGAGTCTTGGTACCTGACTTTTTGGTTCAGTTTTTGCTTACAATGCATTATCACATGGTATCTCTTCTGTGATGGCAGCATTCCAGCATGAGGGACCTCTGACCACAGCTAAACTTCACAGCAGAAGATGAGTTAATAACCTTTAATGCTTGGTAACTTAAATACTGTTGCTGTCGATCAAAGCTGAAGGCTGCCCACAGTGTTTTGCCGCAGAGGGCAAACTCTTGATTATGAGTTTAAGTCAATCTGTTGTATTCAAATTTGCATTTATAATGTCCAAGTAAATAGATATCTTCTGTGATATTTTCTTCACTTTTTGTTTGCTTCCCCCTGTGTCCTTGTGGAGAATGAATTTCTCATCACTTTAAGAAAACGTTTTAAATTATCTAATACTTTGCTGCTGCTGCAAATCAAAAAAAATTATTAGAATACATAGATTATTCACATTTTTGCTAAACTTTGAGAGACCTTGATTTTTAGTAACTTCTTTAATAGCTTTTACTTTGAACATGCTTCTGTTATACAATGATAGTCTAGTAAATGTGGGTAGGGCTATATAAATTATAGGAGAAACTACATAAGTTTTGCCTCAAGAGTTTCTAGTCTAAAAGCATAAAAGAAAGGACAAAAAATAACCGTCAAATCCTTATTCGATGCAAAATGCCAAAGATGAGAAAACAGTGAACTTCAGCATCTGCATGAATATATTAACAGAGTATGAGATTTGTGATGACCACAAGGGACTTTCCATGCATCTACTCAAGCAGTAATGACTTGGAGCTGTTTAACATTTCCTGCATGTTAAGTCTATTTTGTGAATCCTTGTTCCCATTAGGAAAAAAGAGGTTTCAAACAGACTATCTCTGTCTGATTAAGTCGGCATTGTTTGATGTCTAACAGGAGAAATTCCTTTTTTTAAATGAATTTCTTGCTATAACTGGAGGACTGAATACTATGGACCTTCCATCTTCCAGCATTGGGGCCACTCTGTTAATTTGGCCCGTTGTGTCTTGATGCCTGCCTGGTCTGGAGTAGCCCTGGTTCGTCTTGTGGCTCAGAATCTGGGACATGCCAGGCCCTTTTTCCAAGCCTCCCTTCTTCTCTTAACACCTTCTTGGACGACTGTTTGCTGCATTTTTAGGTGGTCTACATTTTAATTATCTTTGGATCCTAACCCAAAGTCCTATCCCAGGGCAGCAGAGGCTATTAAATTACATAAGTGACTTTGCTGTGCTTTATGTGTCAGGCCCCTAACCGAACTTTCTGATGTTCATTTTAGGGTTGAGCCTGCATCTTTTCTGGATCAAAGATAAAAGGGCACGAACCATACATGATCTAACAAGGCTTCAAAACTTCTGCTACCTAAAAGAACAAGGAGACCTCAGGAGATCAGAAACCTGTGTCCCGTTTTCTCTTTTTCCTTGTCATATCAGCTGCCACAACCTTCTTGCTTGGTTCTGGCTAATCTCCCTCAATCTGTGCTTGAGCACATCAGCCCCACCCCACCCCCATTATCCCAGAGAACTGGCAAGGCACACAGTTCCTCCATATGCTTTTGGGTCCCAGCAGCTAGACTCTTTGGCTTTCTGCATGGGGACCTATTGAAGAGGCAGTTGTCCACATTGTCATCATGTGTCCTCTGCAGCATCACTGGCAACTACTATGACTAAGTGTGCCTCATGGGACTGGCAGTGTGACAAACACTTTACATGTTGTTTTAAGTGCTTACCAGCACCTTGTGCTGCCAGTGCTATTTACAGATTAACAGCTGTAGACTCAGATGAGGTTTACCTTGTCCAAGACCTTGTCCAAGACCACCTAATTAACTGTCTGAACCCAAAGGCTCCTTTCCATCTGCCTCTCACTAATTGGATCCTTAAAGCCCTTTGTCACATGAGAGTGGCCTGGAGACCCTAGTTATGCGCTCCTTACCCACCCCCACACTGTTAAGCTCCCACTGTCTTTCTAGGGGTGGGGACAAGCATCTGGTCTTTGAAAGCCTTGAGTCTTTGATAAACTGTCCACTGTGAAACCTGTGATCTGTGAAACTAACTGTTTGTGAAACAAATTCAGTTATTTAAGCCTTATAACAAGAGTGCTTTGTTCTTTAAAGGACCCCAGAGTGAGTTTTTGACTTTTAAAAAGTGAAAAGTGGTACAGTAAAGGTATACAGATAAACAGGTTCTACAGGGCTTGGGCTTTGCTTATCTTCAGCTTTTTGGGTAGAGGAGTTCAGTGTATTTGGTGCGTTCAGCATGACCTTGGCAGCTGTGATAGGCAGGTCCTCCACCGGCATGCACTTAGTCTTTGCCTAGTGTGTGCACAAGTAGGTGCTGAGAGCGTGTCAAAGCAGGCTGATGCTACTTGCCAAAGGGGCACACTGCTTGGTATGGGGTATGTCTTCAGAAATATAGGCATATTGCACTTGTGAAGTTTTGAATTAAACCTTTGTAAATGTAAAGCATGAAAATGTGAGACTTTATAAAAATTACTTTATTGTAAGAATTTGTACTAGAACACCAGGTTGCTTACACTTTTCTTAAATGCAGTCTTGGATCTTAAATCTCATTGTATCATATTCACAAGAGGTCTAGTCTCTTCTGTTTTGAAAGAAGAGTGTAATGCTCCTTATTATGGGAAAGAAAGTTCTAGTTTAATTATATGTGATATTTCACAAATCTCCCAAGTCTACTACTGAAAGACTTAATGTAGTCTGTCAGCTATCCTACCCTTTCCAAAATTGCTAAAAAGATAAACTCATGCATTTTAATTTTGCATTCATGACCCACAATAAAATGGGTACTCTTTAATTTTGGAATAGTTTTGCGAGATAAAGTTTAGGAGCAAGGAGTAATATTCAGAAAAGATTTGATTCTGAGCTATAGATTAAAAATGATTGCTTACGAGTCCAAATGAGTTCAGCTGTGCCACTGAAGGTTAAACATCCTTGGCTGGATTTGTGCTGAATTTCCCAGTGTGTAGGTCTCACAGGGCACTGAAGGGCTTCATTGGCTATTCCTACCCATAGCTTCTTCCCCACTGTCTTCTGGTGACAGCTGTCCAGATGCATCACCAGCCAGAGGACAGGTTCAGCAGAAACAATGACAAGTTAAACAAAACGAAACCTCTCCTGGCTTTTATTTCAGTTAACATAAGTGACACTGATGTGCTCCTATGCCTGAGGCTTTGCCCCTTTCAAGTGTAGGCTTTAACATTTAGTTACTTAATGCTGATGGAATGGATTTAAAAACTAAAGTCACCCTTGATGATGACAGAAAGAGACTGGATCATTGAGACCCATATATTAGTTCAGTTTTTCTTTTTTTTATGCTGTCACCTCAATTTCCCAGTCAAGCTTTTTATCAGAAATTAGTAACAGGCGGGCTAGCGATGTGGTTCTGTGGTAGAGTTCTTGTCTTGCATACACAAAGCCCTGCGTTTGATCCCCAGCACTACAGGAAAAAAAGAAAGAAATTTAAAAACAGAAATTGGTAATAGGCCAAAGAACTGAGACTGGACAGGTGTGCATTCAGAGTAAGAACAAAGGAAAAGGACCAGTAACTCTAAGATTGGAGGCTCTTGGGACCAAGGTGGTCACCAAGAGAAATGAAGTAGAAAAGACTGTAACCCTTGTTAGTATTAGCATTCATGACTTCATCGTATCACCTGCATCTTGCTCCTACAGCGTCAGCATTGCCTGAAAACTTTTTAGACATGCAGCATCTCAGGCCTCATCCCTGACCTGCCAAATCAGGGCCCACATCTTAACAAGATCCCCAGGGAGGTTCCCCCCCCCCCCATTGCAGTCTGGGAAGTATCACTGTAGCCCATCCCTGAGCAATTTTTAACACATTCATTCCTACAAACACTCCATATCCTTGTTTCTAAATGATGTTGAATCATTTGAAAAAGTTAAAGCGTTGACTCTGGAAGAAGTGTCCATCATAATAATGGTCCAATTTAGCTATTCCTTTAAAAAATTAATTTGATATAATAAGATCTTTTTGATCACTTTTCAACTGATAAATGGTAAAACTGCTGTCCATTTCCTCTGTTTGATAATGTAAGAGTTTTTAACTGTAATTGCTAAAATGTACTCAACTACAGACCCTATCTTCTATCAAATATAGATAGTAATAGCCACATCAAATTATAGAATAGTTACAGAGATACTCAGATAACTTAAATCTCTACTAAAATTTCCAGACATTTCTTAAAGTGTTATTTAAAATTTGAAAGATATAAGTTAAAATAGAGACAAAAAAAATTACAGAATTGGTGGTCATGTTGCTCTGCATTTTAATGGGTAGTAGATTTTAATCATAGACATTATTTCTATTAAAATGATAAAAGCATATAATTTGTGGGCTTGCTTCACTTGTACAATGATTAAAGGGGAGAATGTAAAGAAATATTTTTTTATTTTCTTTGCATAGAGAAAATCTTTGCTGGCTTTAGAAAAAGAAGAAGAAGAAGAGAGAAGTAAAACTATAGAGAGTTTAAAAACAGCACTGAGGACAAAACCAATGAGGTACTCAGTCCTTAGGCTGCCTGTTCCTCTCTCATCTCTCCTTTTCTCTTGTGTTCCTGGTTTTCTGCAGGGTCAAACCTTCCTGAAAACTTTAAATGTAAAGCATGCAACTGAAGCATGGTTGAAATACTTTAATCACTTACCATTTAATAAGTTTATTTTCTTCATTTAACAGATAGTAGGAGTAACCAGGTTAGCTAAAATAAAAAGGACAAAGAGTAACAATATTGGCAGGAATATGGTAAGATTTGAAAACTCATGCTCTGGGGAAAGTAAAGTGTTTCTGCCACTTGGAAAAGTTGGGCAATTCCTTGGAGTATTCAGCACAGCATTATTATATAATCCAGCAGTTCTGCACCTAGATGTATACCAAAGGAAGTGAAGACATGTTCGCCAAAGCATGCATCAGTGTTCATAATGGCATTATTCAAAATAGCCCCAGAGTAAAGATAACTCATGTGTCCATCAGTTGATAAATGGATAGAAAATGAAATATGATATACCACACAATAGAACATTTTTGGCTATAATAAAAGAATGAAGTACTAATACAAGTCACAACATGAAATAACCTTAAAAATGTCCTGCAAAGCGAGAGAAACCAGTCACAAATGACCAAATATTGTATGATTATATGAAATGTGTGTAGGAGCCCAGTTCATGGAGACAGAAAGGTTAGTGGCTGCCAGAGTTGAGCAAAAGAGAAAAGGAAAATGGTCTTTTGGGGATGATTAAAATGTTCTAAAATTAGATAATGTTGATACACTACTCGTAATCTATTTAAAAAATACTGAATTGTGCATTTTAAAAGGGTGAGTATATGATAAGTAAATTATAAGACAATAAAACCATCATTAAAAGATGGGCAGGCCTTCTGGCATTCCTAGCTTTCACAGGATGCCTCCTCCGCCTTCAATTTCCCTTAAGCCTTAGGATTTGGTAAGATACTGGGAATCTTACCAACACATTTCATTAGCACAGGTGCTAGGAGTGAAGCCAACTGGTTTAACCAGCTTGACAGTATCTGGGTCATGTGGGTGGATGGAATGAATGGCCCAGAAATAACAATTGCCTTTCTTCACTTGATAATAAAATGCAAACTAGGAAAAATCTACTGATTCATCACTGCACAGTTGTGTGATAGGCTATCGTAACTAGATCAGTGTTTTTTTCAGTATGTTCAGCGTTCTCATATGTTAATGAGTATAAAATACTAATTAGGAAGCTTCTCAAGTAGTCAGATGAACAGATTATATGGTCTGTAGACTTCTCAGAGCTTTTGACATGCACATAAACTATTTTCATTGTTTGACTTTATAGTAAATGTTAAAAATATTGACAAAATTGCAGTAATAAAACACTATCTTATTTTATATATTGGGATTCTGTAGTGTATCATATAATGGAAGGGCTTTGCTACCAAACCTTAAGGGCTATGGATAATCATTTGTTTGACAAGTGAATATCCTAGAGTTAAAGGATGATCTTGGGGTTCTGAGGTCAGTGGTCAACACACAAAGTGCTGTAATAGCTGATCAGCAGATGAGTTTAGCTCTTTGGGAACTTAGTCTTCATTCACCATGCCCTACCTCTACCCCTCCCCCCCACTAAGCTTTCCTATTAAGGACCATTGTGAATCCCAGAAAGACTTAAGTCTGATGCACTTCTCTTCATGCCAGGTTTGTCACCAGGTTCATTGACTTGGACGGCCTGTCATGTATTCTCAACTTTCTGAAGACCATGGACTATGAGACCTCTGAGTCTCGAATACATACCTCTCTCATTGGATGTATAAAGGCGCTAATGAATAACTCTCAGGGCCGGGCTCATGTCCTGGCTCATTCTGAGAGTATTAATGTAATTGCTCAGAGTCTGAGCACTGAGAATATTAAAACAAAAGTGGCCGTGCTGGAAATCTTGGGCGCCGTGTGCCTGGTTCCTGGGGGCCACAAGAAGGTTCTGCAGGCCATGCTGCACTACCAGAAGTATGCCAGTGAAAGGACACGCTTCCAGGTGGGTCACCCTGGCTCCTTCTCACATCCATCTCTAACTCTTTTCAAAGGCTTCATGAATGGGTGCCTTCTCTGGCCATTAATGGGGACATTACTTGAGATTTTTGCCCTCCAATTATTCCTCATACCATGATCAACCTTCCCTTCTTTTAGGTTTAAGAACCAGAAAATAAAATATACTTTCTGTAGATATACTGGGACCTTAGACTTCCTGAAGTTGAAAATGTAGCCATGCATCCTACATACTAAATAGCACATACCTTTTGAGTCCACTAGACAGTGTTCCCTGAGAATTTTATAGGATGCCTTTCTGGAGCCCAGATCAATTTTTTTTTTTTTTTTTTAAACTAGGGATTGAACTCACACCTGCTAGACAGGGGCTTGCACCACTGAGCTAAATCCCCAGCCCCAGATCAATTTGAATAGTGAGATTAAGTCACCATATTTTTACTCAGATGGAAAAAACAAGCAGAGGTAATAGAGTTAAGTCTTTCATGAATGTGTATAAATACACACATAACGATTAAAGAGACCTTCAGTATTAAGAATGGCTTTGTACAGAACAATATAATGAGTTGTTTTGTATGGATCAGTGTAATTTTGACTACATGGAGGTTGAAAGTTAAGTTATAAGCATAAAAAGTTGTAAAATGAGCATAAAGCTAAAAATGATTTCATTCTTTGTTTTTGTATTTTTGTCCTGAATAGACGTTAATTAATGATTTAGATAAAAGCACAGGGCGGTATCGAGATGAAGTGAATCTCAAGACTGCCATCATGTCCTTCATTAATGCAGTACTAAGCCAAGGTGCAGGAGTGGTAAGAACCTTCTGTGTAATTTAACATATATACTGTTAAAAACAATTTTAAAACATCATTGTGATGTAGTCTTAAAATCATAAAATGTATTTTATCACCCTTGTACTTTAGGAGAGTTTGGACTTCAGACTTCATCTTCGCTATGAATTTCTAATGTTAGGAATTCAGCCCGTAATAGATAAGTTAAGGGAACATGAGAACTCAACATTAGATCGGTAAGTCAGGCTGCTATGGTCTAAGACAGTTCATACTTACTCTGTATGTATAGTGTGGTGCCAACTCATGAACTACTTGTGATCTGTTTGTAACCCAAGGAACTTGCACCAGAATGTTGGCTCAGCTAATTTTTTTTTTTTTATCATAAGACTTAGTCAGTGAATTGTGTAAAGAATTTAATGTAGGTTTTGGCATTAGACCTGAGTTCCTCTTGTATCCTGGCCTTGCTCCTTGTAAATCTTGGTCAACTTACTCCTTCCTTCTGAATTTTAGTATTTCTATGTTTATGAGAGATCATTTCTATGTTTATGAGAGATCATCTGATGGTGATCATAATGTTAGTTCTCTTCTTCTTTTGTTGCAAAAATTAACCATAAAACCTATTGAATCATTTAGTGCATTTGATAGGAATTCTGCAGGTGTTAATTTCAATTGCCGTTCCTAGGATAGCTGTATTAACTCTCAGGTCTTTCCTTCCATCACTCTTCTTCATTCGTTCACTCAACTATGCTCTTCTTCTATATAAGATATTATCTGAAATATTCTTGCACGTTCTATTTCCTCAGCTTCTAAAAGTATTTCACAGATTATGTGTTCTTTGTTCCCTGTAGGGAGACCTTTCCCATCTATTGTGTCTATTCACTTCATTTCCAGTTATTTTCTATTCTCTTTACCATGATGCATTTGCCTATGTACATTGTTTCACTACCAGTGTATAAAATAATAGGGGCTTAATAAATATTTGAGTGAATAATGAAAGATACAAAACTTTCTTTGGTGATATTTAATAGTGAATCAAGTGTGGGTATATGGGTTTTTCTCTAAAGGGAGTTCATGAGAGGAATCTGGACTCAATTAGATTTGATTAACACATTAATTTAATACTATCTACTGTATGCTATGCATACCAGATTTCTACATTTTTTTCTTACTATGATCTTATTTAATTCAGTTAATATATTTTTTCCTTAAAGAAAGCATAGTTAAACAAAGACATTCAAATTCTTTTACCTTCTTTTAGAGCAATCTCTAAAAATTCAGGAAATGTTAATGTCCTAAATCGTGTATGCTTTTGTTTGGATGTTACACTCTTAGTTTTTAAAATTATTTTTCAGGCATTTAGATTTTTTTGAAATGCTCCGAAATGAGGATGAACTAGAATTTGCCAAAAGATTTGAACTGGTATGTATGATTATGGTTATTTTGGTTTGTCTTGTCCCCTTGGAACTTGCCCCTTGAAATGATGCTGCACAGTCAACATTTGCCAGTGTGCCTGTGAGCAAAATCAGAGCTCTGTGTTGTCACCCAAGTGGCAAGATTAGCATCTGCGTTGGATTTACTTTCCTTCCATTGAGGAGCTTGAATGTTTATCTAAGATTTGTTTTCCTATCAAACAGGTTCATATAGACACGAAAAGTGCAACACAGATGTTTGAGCTAACCAGGAAGAGGCTGACACACAGTGAAGCCTACCCTCACTTCATGTCCATCCTGCACCACTGCCTCCAAATGCCTTGTGAGTGTTCGCGATTTGTCAGGGTATGGTGGAGTGCTGGGATGTCATCTGCAGAGCCCTGTTTCCTGAGCAGGTGCACATCAGGGATTCCAAGCCTTAGCTTTGTGACAGTCCATATATCTACATAGCTTCCAGGGCATTAAATCTTCAACATGAAATAAATTATAATAAGTGTGTGCCTTACAACACATTTATAAAGGGAGTATTTCTCAAACAAATAATTATTGCATGTCAAGATTCCCTAAATTTTGGTAGGCACTGTTGCAGTCCGTTCTGTGACTCTAAAGGATGACCACTGTTGGAAAATGTTCATCCTGGTTTACAAGTAACTTGAAGATCTTTTTCCACCATTCTTTCTCTTTTCAGACAAGAGGAGTGGCAACACTGTTCAGTACTGGCTACTACTAGATAGAATTATACAGCAAATAGTTATCCAGAATGACAAAGGACAGGACCCCGACTCCACACCTTTGGAGAACTTTAATATTAAAAATGTTGTACGAATGTAAGTCTCTTCCTTTTCTACTGCCTGTGAGATAATGATGACAGTGTAGTAGGCTTATCTTATCCTACTTCAAAATAATAGCGGAGAGGGAGAGGGCTGAAATGGTCTAAGAGTCAAATATGAGTTGCTTTACAAATGCATGCAATATACCAGTAACATCCAAGTTTGATTGGGTTTCAGGCTTCCACTGAGGATTTTCTATACAGTAGACTTTTTGTAATGAGTATTCTTTTAACTTTTATATAGGTTGGTTAATGAAAATGAAGTTAAGCAGTGGAAAGAACAAGCAGAAAAAATGAGAAAAGGTAAATGATGAGGACTTGACAAGAGAAGATTCTGTGTCATTGCTTACTAAGTGACCCTGCCAAGAGAAGAGGACATATTATCTGTTACTGGATGGTCCTGCTATCTGTGTGTTTGGGAAATTTGCATTGATGTTTCTTGTTGCATCAAATAGCCTTTCTTTTTCCCTGTTGTAATAACATTTTGCTCTGGCTTTTTCTCATTCAAACTATTTTAGTTGGCATGCAGATTCCCACAGAGTTTATCCTTTTATTATAGTCTTGTAAATGTTTTTGGAAAGCTCATAGTACTTACTGCTCTGCTTTTCATTGATTTGAATTTTCTTCACTGCATATCATCCAAACCCATCCCTTGCCCCATAACTGCTTTTTATTTTTGGCACCCAGGTATTGAACTCATGACCTCATGCTCACCAAGCAGGCACTTGTGCCACTGAGCTAAACCCCTGGCTTATAACTACTTTTAAAAATGGAATGGGGTTTAAAAAATATAATAAAGCATTTTAGAATTCAGCCAAAGTTTTAAGCAGGAAGCACTGGCCACTGGATTTCAGCAGTCCAGTTTTCTCCATGACCTTAACTTGGCACTAATGGTAAAGAGGAACCTTGTAGAAAATCAGTGACTATTGCAGAGGTGTGTGTTATAAGACGTTAACAGGCTAGCTGTTAGTACTTGAATATATCTTCAATACTTCAGTCCACATCACTGATAGGACAGACATCTGTGTTCTCACAGTGTCAGCCATTCAAAGGCATGTGTAGCTTTCCTCTTCCTCCAGTGCACTGGCAGATGAAAGGCCTGTCTGTAAGGACAATCATGCACCCATCTACTGCTCTCTCACCATACTAGCTAAATGACTTCCTTTTGCTTGTCCAAGTTATTTAGTCACAGCAAAATAAAATAGTGCTCATCCCGATAATTAATGTGCTGAAAAGAATGTCTGAGAGATGTGGTAGCATTTCCTTTCCTGTCGTCATATGTGTCCCTTGCCATTGAGCAGAGAAGCAGGGCCACCACTGAGAGCAAATAATTCCAAGTATGAAATATTGCTGACTAATGTCCCTCATACATGTCCACATTGCTTGGGAAGTGCTGTGGGAAGCATAGAGACATCAAACCAAGGGGAAAATTGCCAAGGAGTGAATGCTTTGGGGATCTATTGAATTCTGGAGCGTGGAGACTTGAGATTGCAAGTTGAGAGGAGCATCTGGGACATCAGACTTGGAGTTATTCTGTCATTTACTGGCAGCTACTTCTGTGTGAGAGGGACTGTGCTGTGCTCTTGAGTACAAGTATCAACCCTGCCTTCACTAATCCCCTGGGATGGCAGTTATATCCTCTCTTCCTGCCACTATTCCCTGTAGCCATGAGAAGTACACCTATCTCACAGGATTATTGTGAAGACAGAAAGACAAATCAAACAGAACGATGTCAGCATGGTGTCCAGTACATACTAGTTGCACAGTGCATAATAGCAACTGTTAGACGACTCGGGTGGTTGAAGTGGAATAGAAGATCTCCAAGGTTGAAGAGGGTTGGGGTGGTTTAAAACGTAAAGAGTAGGTAGAGTAAAAGAGGAGAGATTGTAGACACCAGGAATTCTTTTCTAGAAGGTTTAGGTAACCAAGTTACATTCAACAGGGCATATTGCTAACAAATTAGTCAGAGAGTAGAAGTTGATAAAAGACAAGAAATTCCATGAACCTGAAAAGGAATATTTGGGAGAGAATTCTCTTTGGTGCCTATTGCTCCAGAAAATGTACTGTCAAAGCTTAGCAAGTATATGGTCTGTACAGAAATTACACGGTAATTTGTGAGGAGGATCTTCAGGCTGGAGATACTCACATGGGGCATCAGGATCCTTTCAGGAGCATTCAGGACTTTCCTAAGCCCTGCCCCAGCCTGCAGAACAGACTCTTAGGAGGAGATCCAGACTCCTGAGACTTGGCTGTCACGCGATTCTGAGGCACAGAAGGGAGGCACAACCTGGGGTCACTGTTGCTGGGGAGGGGCTGTATCTATGGCTCAGAAGAAAGCACTTGCTTAGCTGTGCAAGGCCCTGAGCTTGATGCCTGGTACCAAGGGAAAATATTGTTAGTGAAGAACGAGGCGGTGATAAAAGGCAGAAAATGGGACACAAGCATTCTTGTGTTGGGAATCGGAAGAAGTTAGACATCTATGGAATGGTGGAAATGAGCTGATGGTTATTATAAACTCCAAGGCTCATAAAACTCCAGGATTTTAATGGCTTGAACGCCTCAGTACAAATTCTAATTTTGGGGGACACAAAACAGAGTCGATCAAGGACAACAGGAATTTAAAATTTTCCTTCAAATTCAGAAATAGAGACCAACTCTGCACAATTCAGGTTCAGTGGGTTATATCTCTAGTGGATATATTGATATAAAAAAGAGTAGGGATTGGGGCTAAGTATTTGAAATAAAAATCTGCAACCTAAACTTCTCTTTCCCTAAGCTCATCATCCTGACCGGAAACTTTGTTAGTTGGCACTGTGAATAAGCATTATGCTAAACTGGATGTCTTGTTCCACTAGAGCAGGACTGAAGAAGTCAGTAAAACCATGGCTGAGAGCTACTATTTTCTTTCACATTGTGACGATTCTCATGCTCAACCAACACTGCTCCCCTTAAAATATTTAATACTGAGATAGCAACATTTTCTTTCACAAGATTTTAATACTCACTTGCCAGAAGCATGAGATGCTGCAGGTAGCCTGAGGGTTATAAAGGTGTGGAGACCAATGCAAGGTCTGGCAGCAGCTCCTCCTCACAGTGCAGATGCCTCCCTTTCACCCGGATGCCTGCAGGAAACCTTGCTCATTCAAGCTTAATTTCTCCCTGTCCCATTTCTGACTTGTGACACAGAGCTTGTTTGGTGTTTATTTTTCCTCATGTTGCTAAAGGGCCTGCACAGACAGAATTCTAAGGTAGCTGTCACACAGGCACATTCCCTTCCTCAAGCAGTGCTCACACTTCTGTTCATTCTTACAGTCCCTACTAACATCTTTTACAGACCAGCACTAAGAAAGTTGCTCATCATAAGCCCCATCTCAGGATGCATGCTGCTCTGCTCCTGAGTAGCAAAGCAGGAATAATACTGGCCTGACCAAGAGCCCCACAGTCTGCATCATCACCCTCAGTCAGTGTTCCTTTTTAGAGCAACCATTTCGGCTTTGCAGAGCCTCTTGTTCTCATGTCCAATTGTTCTCATGTGTAGAGCACAATGAATTACAACAGAAACTGGAAAAGAAAGAGAGAGAATGTGATGCCAAGACGCAAGAGAAGGAAGAAATGATGCAGACCTTAAATAAAATGAAAGAGAAACTTGAGAAGGAGACAAGTGAACATAAGCAAGTCAAGCAGCAGGTGGCAGACCTCATGGCCCAGCTTCATGAGCTCAGCAGGGTGAGTGTAGGCCAGAGACTGGGCCTCCCCTCCCCACGTCCTTGCGCACCCCGGACCCTCCACCTTCTGATGGGAACCACAGTCTCAAATGCCCCACAGTTGCTTGCTGTAGTTACAAAACTTGCTCCCTGTGCTGCTGGGTGAATCAGGCAGCACCGTGGTCTGGGGTGTCAGTCTTGGTTCCAGTCCTGTACTAAGCACAGGGAATTGCTTTAGCTTCTTAACGGGTTTTATGAAGCCAAGTTGTATAATGGTGCAAGAAGGGAGAGCTATGAATGCTTTGGAAGCAGACACTCTAGTGTCAAATAGAAAGGACCAGCTCTGCCAAACCCATGGAGACCCTGAAAAGACCATCTGACTGGTAGCCCTTTAGACCCCATTCTCAGAAGCATGGGTTTCCCTACAGGGAAACCCACTCAACTTCATCCAGTGAATTCTTTTCTTGCACTGGTCTCTCTTTTCCTATTTTTGTCTTTTCAGAGGACTGTCTGTGCTTCAGTTCCTGGAGGACCCTCACCTGGAGCCCCAGGAGGACCCTTTCCTTCCTCCTTGCCAGGTTCCCTTCTTCCCCCACCACCCCCAATTCTGCCAAGTGGAGCCCCCCCTCCTCCACCGCCGCCCCTCCCTCCTGGAGGCCCTCCCCCTCCCCCAGGACCTCCTCCCTTAGGAGGGATTATGCCACCTCCTGGAGCTCCAGTGGGGCCAGCCCTTAAGAAGAAAAACATTCCTCAGCCCACAAATGCCCTCAAGTCCTTCAACTGGTCCAAGCTGCCTGAGGTAAGTCCTTTGTTGGAGTTTTCCCTCAGAGGAGTAGCATGTGCAGTTCTCCATTCCTCCCTGAAAGGGAGACACCTCTGGCCACTAAAGAATTTGTTTTCTACTCTGGAGACTGAGGATTCTTACTAGTTCAGATATTTAACTGCTAAAACTTTGAAATATGGCCATGTTGTTTGAAACCAGCTCACATTGAACATGTTGCAGGATTAGTAAAACATGTAAGATGAGCAATTTAGGATGGTAGCACTTTTTAGAAAATAACCATACTTGTGCTTTTTGTATATAACTAAAAACCACAGAACTTACTAACTTTTGATGTTTCTAGAACAAACTGGACAGAACAGTGTGGACTGACATTGATGATACCAAAGTCTTCAAAGTTCTAGATCTTGAAGACCTGGAAAGAACTTTCTCTGCCTATCAAAGACAGCAGGTAATAGCATATGCTCTCTGGATACCAAAATTGTTAAACAATTATATGCTCACACAGAGGCTCTGGCCATCTGCTGAGACTGTACTGTCACCAGCATCTCGGTCTCTCGCTGTTTGGTCTGTGCTGATGTGTGTGCATATATGTGTTCAAGTGACTGTGGGGAATGTGTGAGCAGCTGAAGGTGTAGTGTCCAAGTCCTTGACTTAATGTTGTAAGGACTTCTGCATATTATCACTGTGGATCACTAGGAAAAAATATTAACAGGGGAGTTGCTTAGCTTATAGTGTCACCTCAAGATGTTTGTTTCTAGAGCCATTTTGCTCTGACATTAAAAAAAAAAAAAAAAAAAAAAAAAAAAAAAACCACACACACACATACACACATCACCAGAAACAGAATGCTTTTTGAAATAGATGGAATCTTTTGAAGTCTGGGGCTTGGAAATGACTAGAATATGGCAGCTACCTGGCCCTACAAAGAAGCTTTAAGACTCAGCATTGATGTCTCAGAGACCACACAGGTGTGCAGATGGCAGTGCTACTCTATAGGACCAGAAAAGCAAGCAAAGCTTTGTCTGTGGGAGCAGGAATCTGTCCCTTAGTACTTGCTGGCTACTTGTGTTGAAAAAGCCAAGCAGGTGGCATCCTCACGAGCCGATGTCACAATCTTGTGACCTCTCACTCTTCCAGGTCCACTTAGCAGAGCTCTTAGGGTAGCTCAAAAGAGGCCCAAAGTGACGAGAGACAGAGAACCCCAGAACAAGGGAACTAGGGCCTTGGGAAATGGAAAACCAGACTAGGAACAGGAGACTCAAGGTTTGTCTCACTTCGTGATGGCTTTCCTTGAGCTGTACCTCCACCACATCCACGGTGCAACCCCTTCAGCAAACACCACCCTTCCCAGTCAGTGCACTCACCGTGGTTCCCAAGGAAGAGTGGCTGAGGAAAAATGCCAGGCCCTGAGAAGGAAGGTGGGCTGGGGCTGGAAGGGAAAAACAAAGGGAATTTGTTTAAAACTTTCAGGATGACCTATGATGCATCTGAAATAGGGTGGGAAGGCAGTAGTTAGCTAGAGTATTCTACCTTAAGAGAAGCCAAGTCTCTCCCCAGGGCCTTTTGTGCTGGTTTAATAATGTATGAAAATAAAGGTAATTGCCTGCCATGGGAACAGGAAACCCAAAATAGGAGCCCATAGCAGGGCCATTCCATAAATAAGGTGGCAGCCTGTTCAGGGTTATACACAACAAATAAAAGACCAGGAGAAAGAAAAAACAGGATACCTGATCCTGTTACAAACAACATGTATGTAAAGATTTCATCTGCATGTGCTCTGCCCAGACTCATTCCTGATTCTATACGCACATTTGTCTGTCTTCCTGCACCTACCCCAGGAGATGTCCCTGACCCTCAGCATGAGCTCAGGACATTTTAGCAAATTTCCTAGGAGTTCAGCTAACTTCGGACCTGGTCATGTGTCCTGTTGCTTTCCTACTCCAGTTTCACTTCCTGATCCTGATCCATACTGAATATCTTAGATGAAGACTTGAGAATTTAGAGAGGTCCATTAAAGTAATAGTAGCAGTTATTCCAAATGGATTATTCAATTGTGAGCATGTGGGTTAATTTGGAAGGCAGGTGACTGAAAGACGAATGCAGGAATCATAATTTACTGGCTTTCAGCTCAAGGTCAAAAGGATGCTGACAAAGTGCACTGGGACAAATCTGTGGACAGTCGTTAGGAGCTGCTGGAGATGGGATTGCAGAGATCCCAGTAGTAGGGTAACAGTCTCCTAGCAAACAACACTAAGTCATTACAGTCAGGTTACACCAGAACATTTCAGTTAGATTGCTACATAGAATGAGTTGTGACCGGGTTTTCAGCAGTACTTCCTGAAGAAAACTTTTGGCCCACCTGCTCAGCATAATTCAGTATGTTTCCCCTTTAAATACAAGCTTGGAGAGGAGAAATTTTTCTCATATATATATATATATGTTTTTCTCTTATAAATACATTTTCCAAATGAGGGCAATTTGAACCACTTTATTGAATTTACTAAATGTTGAAAAGCAATCAAAGGATGCAGATGCTAAATGAAATCCATGGGACAGAATAAACCAAGTGGTGCCTGTCATTGAACGTCCCCTCATCTCGTGTTGGCAACAGCAAGGACTATACATTTTCCTCTCAGTCTTGGCAGTGCATTATGTAATCATCACCCCACTTAACTGCTCTCTCTCCTACTCCCAAATGAATGCTGGGAACCTATTTTTTCCACAGTGTCTCCTTTCTCATCCCTCTAGAGTGATGAAACCCTGGTCAAACTCTCTGGACTTTGTCCAGTTGTTTAACTAAATACATTTTTCTGAGAGACAAAACAATATATGAATACCATTACCTGTACTTCTGCAATAGAAATACTACATTTGAGAAATCACAATATCAGAGCTGGGGATTTAGCTCAGGAGCATAAGTGCCTGGCAAGTGTGAGGTCATGAGTTCAATCTCTGGTACCAAAAAAAAAAAAAGAAATCAAAATATCAGACTAGTATCATTTAAATGAGGAATGACTATGAATATATATATATATATATACATATATATATATATATATATATAAAACATACATGTGACTATAAATACACATATACCTACATATAGACATGTTTATGTGTATGTTTGCACACCTGTTATATATTTGAGAAATATCATTAAAATTAGATATTTATATTATTTGCTTTGTCTATAAAGTACGTCCAAGGATTCAAATATGCTAAGCTATGACACAGGCCCATCATGTAATTTATAGTATTAAAACAAAGATGAAAAATGTGTAAATGATCATAATAGGAACTACAAGATGATGCTCAGTATTAAGTATCCATTATCTTTTTGGTGCTGAGTATGATATGCACAGTTCCTAGTCTTATCAAACTTAGAATTCAGTTCTCAAGCGCTCTTTTGTTTTTTTGTTATTTAACACTTACCCCAACTTTGAAGGGGAATTTTATTCCTGTATTATAGATAATAAAAATATGATTTAGTGTGAATTCAGTCTCCTAACAGGTGATACATTCAAAATACAAAGTGGTGTAATTCTCAGTTTCTCTTTGTTCTTTGTCCATGGTTTTACTCACTATGAACACCAGGCTTTGTAGAGGATTTTCTTTAAATCCAGTTTTAAGAACATGACCACTGTTATTCAGAATTTTTTTCAGTGCACTTGTCAAAAGTGTGGAAAGCTCATCATGTAAGCTTGTGTGACACATGAAATGGAATTTAATAGCATGCCATTATTCTCCTGTTTGCATTTCAGAAGTTCATTTGAAAGTCAATTTCATGAATGCAGGAATCTTTTTCCCCATTGAAACTACATTATACATGATTTCTAAGTCAACCAAAAGAGATTTATTTTGATAAATAATGTGAATGTAGCACATTGCTTAGTAGTAGTATTTCAGATACAGTTAAACAGTGTTAATGTCTGTTTTATGGGGAATTTTCATACTGCCCTGCTGTAAATTTATTCCTCCTATGGATGCAGTTAGCAATGCAGGTGAGCTGATGTTACTACACCTAATTAAGGGGAGTCCCAACTCCAGAATAGTGTGGCAGCAGCTCATGGGTTCTTCCTCTACCTTGCTCTTTTCTTGAGGACAATCCTGTTTTTAGGATCCTGTTATCAGCACATAGTACAGTGTTGCAAAGTCTTTGTGCTCTGACTCAGGGAACAAAAGACAGCTATGGCTCAGCCCCAGAATTCATTACCACTGATACATAATATATAAGTCATTTTGTGGGGATCCCTTTTAGAACATTTAGTAGTATCTTTTTTATTAAATGGTCAAAGAATTTTCCTTTTTTCAGTCTCTGCACAGTTGTCATTCTGTAATCTGATTTGCATACTGAAAAATTATTTAGCTTATTTATTTCAAGTCCTTTGCCTTGGCATATGAAAGCAAAAGAAAAATTGTTAATCATTGCTTTCTTCAATGGTATATGGCTGAAAGTTCTGTAGCTGGGCTACATGGTAAAAGTTAACCCAGAGTTCTGTATAAACATCAGTATATGCATTTTTCTGGAAAGGGTTATCCAGTTGTCAGGTTTACCAAAGTATTTGAGCCTCAAAAAGATGAGGAATCATTTCTACAAGTATTATCCTTATCCATGGAGTCATTCTTTTTTTTTTTTTTTTTTTAAATCGGTACCAGGGATTAAACTCCTGACCGCTCGCTTGCAAGGCGATGAAGTCATTCTTTATTGTGGAACCCTGTCAGCACTATTCCTGACAGTTCAAGTCCCTGCTGCTTATTTATATCCTGAATCCCAAGTCCTACACTAGAAGTCATTTAGAAAAGTCAAACATTCTGTCAGATAATTCTATCACATTTGGTTTCTTTTCTTCTGATTTTTGAGCGAATAAGGTTTCAAAAAGATTTTGTGAAATTAGACCTGAAAACATTGTGATTTCAAACATGTCCTATCTAATGACACTCATAAACTTGGTGGTTTTGTTTATAAGATGCTGATTAATAGACCCTTAAATAAGTGAAATCTTTAGGCTGGCAGTTAGCCAAACTCCTCCACAGCATTCTTTATCTTCACCTCCAGACAGATGAGATATGTTACCAAGCTATTAGCTGTTGTGCTTAAAGCTGCTGGGGTTTGAAAATGAGAGATCTTGAGTAGTTCTTCTGTATCAACTGAGAAAATAACAAAAAGGGAATAAGTGGGTCAACAGTTTGATCTGTGTCATATAATTCCAAGTGTAACTATAAATATGTATCAGATACTGTGTGATATGCTTTACAGCATCACAATTAATCCCACAATCATAATCCAGTTGTTTACATCATTTTACAAATACAGAAACTGAGCCCCAACCCACATATCCACTAAGTGACAGCTGCCTGATTCCAAAGCACTGTGTTTGTGATCAGATGTCTTCATTTTCTGATGGTAGAAATAAGATTTGCCAGTAAGTGGGGCATGGTAGCACACACCTGTAATCCTAGACTCAGGAAGCTGAGATATGAGAATTATTGCAAGTTTGAGACCATCCTGGGCTACAAAGTGAGCCCAGTGCCGATCTGAACTGTATAGCAAGCCTGTCTAAAAAAGACCAAAAAGAAAAAAAAGAGAAAGAAACTTACTAGAAATTCCTTCTTTGAAGGCCAGATAATGAAAGCAAGGTCTAAATTCATGTAGTACCTTTCTTTTTAAGAGAAAAAAAAAGAGAGAGAGAGGAAAAAATGAGACCTCATGGAGTTGCGTTCAGCACGGGCTTTTCTGCTGTGGAAAGGAAACTTTTTACTACAGCAGGGTCAGAGTACACCGCTTGACAGTTACAATAGGGACAAAAGAAAACTGGAGTATCAGAAGGGAAGGAAAGTTGCTTGTGATTATCAACTTATTTTTTAAATGTCGTGCTAGGAAAGCAGTCCTGCTTGAGTGGGCAGGGGAGGGCACATTGTTTCCACCAAAATGATAATACAGAGCAGCTCATCTGTGTGAAATTGGCCCTGGCTGTGCTGCCAAAATCAATGAGGCCTGAAGGATCTGCTGAGCAAATGCTGGTGGCGCAAGCTGCTGGCCCAAAGCTGGATGTATTTTGCACACCAACGCTTTATTCATTCAGCATATCTCACAAAAGTACACAGTGAAAGCTGTCACTGTCTCATAATGTGTCAGTTAACTTCTCTTTTCCCTTCTTGACCTCACGTCTTTTCTAAAAAGAATTTTCAAGAAGAGGCTTGTGTGCATGAATAGCTCCATAGCAATTTAGACAGAGCTACAAAGTCTGTGCCCACTCACAACCCAGACTGCCTCTCCACTGCCCGTTCTGCCTTTTCCATCACACAGCAGCACCTGCTGGCCCATTTGGACCCTCTAGGGGTATTCAACTTGTCTTGTCTTTATTCTTTCTAATGATATCAGAAGATAGGAGGTGGTTGACAACAACAACCAAAAAAAAAACCATGTTTTTCTGGTAGTACATAACAATGAAAGAGTTTTCTCCAGTGATGAACTTAACTGATAACTCTTTTGCTTCAACTAAAGATGAATGTGTTAAGTGGATCCCAATGTTTTGTTTTTTCCTTTCCTTTCCATTTCAAAAGGATTTTTGCTTTTCCAGCTGGGGTTTTTTTTGGGGGGGGGCGGGAATTTCTTTTCTAAATTCGATTTGTTACCATTGAAAACTGAACAATAAACATTGTCCTTCTCTGTCCCATATGCTTTGTGCGGAATTCTTCATTGTCTCTTGGGCCAGACTCTCCTCATCATTGACTCTCCCTGGTGACTTGAACACATAGATAGATCATCTCATACTCAGCACCACTGATCCCCTGACTGCTTTGACTTCCCCATTTGTTGCTATGTTTTCTGAACTGCGTGTATCTGGTTTGCCTTTTCCATGCCTCTACTGTGCTGTAGGATTTCTCTGTGAACAATAACTCCAGGCAGGTAAGTCTGCTACTATGTACGCCTTTTTTGATCCAACTCCTTAGCTCATTCTAAGACTGAAGTTTCTGGGTTATCCTGTTGTTGCTGTTATTGTTATTGTTTAGATAGTAAACTGTATCAATACACTTGAAATCAGCCCAAGCAACATCACACATTTGACCCCACGGTGCTCATGTTATAAATTCCATGTTGCCTTTGCTTTCAAACTGTCATATTGTTCCATAATTATTTGGTTTATTTAAAGTTGTAAATGCCATAATCCACTGTTAATTGATCCTGATGGCTATTGAAATCAAATTTGCTATTTATCAAGTTAGACTGTGTTTTTGCCCTGAACTTTTTATTGTAAGATCTCTAATGTGCAGTTAAGTATGTTATACATTGTTTTGTGCCTGTTGCTCTGTAGTTACAGCTGGCTGTTATTGCTCAGTACTGCAGCAGGATGTGCGAACAGTGTTTGTTAACCTGGGTAACTGAACTGAACTGAATACCCCTAGAGGGTCCAAATGGGCTACTCTTGGGCTGCCTGGTACCCATCAGGTTCCAAGTCACACAAGGTACCCTCTGGCCTGGGAGCTTTGTGTCATGAAGATCTTTGGGAATCCTTCCTATTCTGTTTTCTTGAATGTTCAGGGTGCAGACAGTTCTGGGGTGACCAGCCCTGCAGATGGCTGGGCCAGCAATGACAAGGCTCTGCTGAGTTTGATTCATAATGACAGCTCTTCTGACTGCTGTCCATAGGGATTTGGGGGACAAAAAGGCAGCATTACTCACTGATAATTTATGCACGCTTAGCTTCTTCAACTTGGAAGGGCTTTGTTCTTCCAAACCATGCTTTTTCAACTGTGGGTGGTCAGTTTCTCTTACTAGTGTTTGTCTTTGCCACCTAGGTGGTAGCCTTTGTTCAGCATCACCACCTCGTCACACTCCCCACTGCACCATCTTAGCTTGTCGTGTGTGTGTGTGTGTGTGTGTGTGTGTGTGTGTGTATACACACATGTGTGTCTCGAGTCTGAATGTCACCTTAAGACTTTGATGGATTTCTTTTGTGCTCTTTACAGAAAGAAACAGATGCCACTGATGACACACTGAGTTCCAAGCTGAAAGTCAAAGAGCTCTCAGTGATTGATGGCCGGAGAGCCCAGAATTGCAACATTCTTCTGTCGAGGTACTGTTTAGTGTTGAATCAACGTTTTTAGTAGGGCCAACTTTTCTGTTACTTGGCTCAAAAACATGGTTGTCACTTCATTTTAAATGCACCCTGCTGAGAGATACATCTTTGAGTCCTCTGTGTTTTGGATGAGGAGGAGTCTTGGTGCTTGCTTTCCCCTAGTGGAATCTGTCAGAGCTGGATGCCACCTCTTGTTGGGTTTGATTTCCTCAGACTTCTTAATTTAAAAGTAGAATGTCCTAAATCAGTGTTTTCTTCCCCCAAAGGCCTGTAAAGTGGAGTTGCCTTTTATTTTCATTTCTTGGCAGTAGAGATATTTTAGTCTTTCAGTAACATGGAACCATGACTCATTTTGGTGGTTCTTTGTTTTATTTTGCTTCCTAATATCACCTTTTTTGTATTTCAAGAGTATACAATTTCATGCTTTGGAGAGGCATTTTTATAACTAAAAAAATGTAAATCTCAAACATCAGTGAAATGTTAATTTGTCTGGTTCAGTGCTATTCAGAAATCTTTCTCATAACCAGTGAACCATCAGTGCCTTGGAAGTCAAAAAAAAAAAAAAAAAAAGAAAAGAAAGAAAGAAAGAAAGAAATTGTGAGCCTGAAATCTAACTGCAGCTTCAGGCAACACTGTTAGGTCATTCTGGGCATTTCAAGTAGCTTTCTGTATCTAATTTCTCTAAAAGGGACTTTCACATTAAACAAAGGTACCTAGTACTTATGAGGTGCATGAAAATGTAAAGAATCCCAAATGTTGCAGCTTTAGAATAAGTTACACTCTGGCAGGAATGCTGCCCAGGCAGTGAGGCTGCTGTCAGGTGATTATCTTTCAGGGAGGATGAAGAAAGTAGTAGACCTTATTACTTCAGTGGTCTGAGACTGAGTTTCTTTTAACATAAAGAGCTGCTGCTTGGTTTTCAGCATGAAAGTTTGATTGTTGGCCAGATATATGTTACTTTAGGGAGCAGATGTTTCTTTTAGTAAAAGAGAAATTGAGCCTTAGTAAGATCCCTGAATTTTAATGCAACTTGTAACATGAACTACCCTGTTAAGATTTCATTCTGCTCTAGCTGTAAGCTGTGTAAATGATCAGGCTCTGTATTTATTCTGACTTTTGCTCTATGACTCATGTTTAGGTTAGATATCAATCTACCTTAAGACACAAAAATAATTCAAAAGTCTTGTTTTTCTCCTATAATGTATTTGATTTGTTGCCTTGTTTAAAATAACATTCTTAACTGCAAAATTAAATGAGGATTTGGGAAAAGTTGTTATTTTTGACTTGCTTTAAATGTGAGAATTTCTCCCTATATTTTGCGCTTTTTATCCAGATAAGCACTTTAAAGCAACTTGACAAAGGGATCTATCACTCTGGCTTTCTATAGTATTGAAATGCCTGTACAGTGCATTTCACTGTGACCTAGTTCCTCATAGACAGATTATTCCCAATGCTAAGTGCCTGCCAGGATAATTACATTCATTATAGATAAGGTTACAACTCTTCCCAGCAAATTTCCCATTTGATTGCTGAAGGAATTATTTCATATTTCTGGTATATAGTTCCCTACTATAGTTCCCTACCTCAAAACTGTTGGAGTATAAGGTGATTTAAAATTTTTTTCTCTAAACTCTGGAAGAGAGAATTTTAAGAACTTGTATCTGTTAGATTCCCTGTTAAAGTCCAGTTTAATGAGCAAGTGTTATTTCAGTGAGCACAGCTGAAAAGCATTGTGGGTAGCAAGGTAATTTTGAGTCCCCCTTTTCCTTTTAGTAGAGGTGCCACATTTGTCTGATTATGATTTTCTCCCCACAGAGGACTCAGGTCCATGTCCCTGTTTGCTTACCTGTTGTTTGTTTTACATCCCATCAGGAATGCACACAGCTGACATCTGAAATGTGCTCTTGCAAAGGTGAAAGAAATCAGGCTGATTTAATTTTAATTTATAGTTTATTTGGCTTTTTAACGAGTTAGGAATTTTCATTCTCCTCTTTTCATTGAGAATTGATTCATTACTGTGCACAAAAAGGAGGTAGAACCTGAAAGCAGAGAAGGGATGTATAAAAGTGTGTTTGATACCTTTTTCTTAGTCACCTCTGTGGAGCATATATTTGCCTGGCACTGTGCTGGAGCCTGTAAGATGTGTTGCTTCTTTTGAAAATTCAAGGCTAACTGGAGAAGGAAAATCACAGACAGATAAGATGTAAATAATTTCAGGACTGCACTGGTCTGACTCAAGGAACCCAGGCAGTCCAGCCAGGGAGAGAGGGGCTACAGTTTAAAAGAGAGCAGGTCTCAGAGGGCAAGCACAGTGTCATTAACACAGGATAGGGAAGGCAGCTTGAGGAGGCTGGGAGCACTGAGAGACAGCCCTGCCACTTCAGCAGTGCATCATCAACGAGTGGAACAAAACCTGGCAACAGAGCCTGAGATTATGTCTTGTGCCTTTATAAGGACATGTGTCAGCAGGAGTCAAGTCCTGGTCTCCTCTTCTATAAAAGGGAGATGAAACTGGGAAAGTCCTAGTTTTACAGTGGGCTTGCGAAATGCCCTGATGGATGTGAAGCCCCTGGCACGGACCTCCATACGATAGCTGTTTAATTAATGACCTCTTTGTCCATGGGATCAGGAAGTGGTGCAGTTTGTTCAGGAGGCAAACTTTTGCTTTAACAAAGTTTAATGTTTAGTCTCAGGAGTTTTTAAATAAGTTGGAAGGATTTAGCAATCTGGATGTAAAGGGAACGTCAGATCCTTCTTTCTCTTACTCAGGTTAGACCCGAGGAGAGAGAAAACTGAGAGGGCAGGAACGCCTGGTTGGACTTGGACGTGATTTTTTGTGTTGGAGACAAAGAATAGTAATTCAAAGATAATGTCAAGATTTCCTCCTTTTCCATACTCAGTATCTTCCTTATTTCCTGATGACTTCATTCTCAAAGTCAGTGGACCTCTCCATTTCTTATCTTGCTGAACAGAGTTTTATTTTACAGTAGTCCTTACTCCAAAGCCAGCCACAATGAAAGCCTTGTTGTACTCCAGGGCTGTGTTCTCACAAGCACATGTGTCTCAGTGTTTGGTTTGCCTTTAAAGCCTCTTCTCATGTGTTACAGAAGTTAAGGGTTCCTTGGCTCACAGGGACCCCCTCAGCCTTGTCTGGGCCAAGTAGACAGGCAGCTGTCCTCATGCACATGTGGTGGGCAGGATATTTACAACTTTTGGGGTCAAAATCACTTGAACCTCTCAAAATAGGGAGCAGAGATGTGAACTGAATGACAAGCTCTGGCGCCCAAGTGCTATGCTTTTCTGAAGAAGCTTATAGGGAGAGGAATGGTCAGTATCTACCTCCGAAGTTGCTAAGACGTTGCTCTGTATTCATTAGACTGCCTGTTAAAGTCCAAGTGAATGAGTATGTGTTACTATAATAAGTCCTCAGCAGAGTAAGTAGCTTCCCTGCTATGTGTATGTGGGTGACATACACCAATCTAAAATCCACCTTTAATTCCCCATCTCCTTCCTCCCAAAAAGAAAAGAAAACAAAGAAAATTGGAAGAAGTTTATACTGCAAGATGAACCTACCTAAAATATACTTTTATGAAGTGTTTTCCTGTTCTTTTTCTCTAATTACTCACTTGACATGGCAGCTTAGGTGTCATAAGCCATCAAAAGCTACTTTAAAATAGAAGAATTTGGCTGAAGTCCATCAGAGCAGAGCGAAAGCTGGCCTTGCCATCCATCTTTATTTTATTACTCATGAATGTTCCACTTCTCAGCAAATTTTTGAAATACAGCAGTTGAGAACAAGGAAGAATTAAATGCTATTTTACAACAAGGTAGAATTAAATGCTATTTTAAGATAACTGGTTTGTTTCCTACATTGTAAGGGAAGTTTAAATAGAAATCTTAAAAATTGTCACCCTCTAGCGCACCAGAACACTGCCAAGATTTAAAAGCAATAAAAGGCTAGAATTGAGAGGGTCCTTAAATTACAGAGATTGGAGACTCACTCTGTGGATGACAGATGATACTAAGAGCTCTAAAACCTATAGAAATATCCCAGGAGGCAGGATACTCTTCTCTCCTTTCTCCTGAAGGGTTTCCTTTGTCTGATCCAGCAGGCCACGTGCCTGGCAGTAGGTTGACAGGTAGATTTTCTTAAGTACTAGCCATTAATGTCTCCAGTCTCTTTGTGGGCCACATTTACAGAAAGCAGAATTGTTATGAATTAGAACTAGTGTTCAGTCCAGGCAGCCTCAGGGAGTTGAAGAGCACAAATATATACAATTTCAAAAGCATGAAGTTCTGTACTCCATATGGGGAGCTAATGAAAGGCAAATCTGATACTTCAAGTATTGTTCTCACTGATTTTGAACTCCTTTCCTTTTAAATGTAAAACAAAAGAGCTCCATAGAACTGCACCTTAAAATGGTTGCTTCAGGTTGGTGTTAAAGGATACACAGACCTTTCATCTCATGGGCAGACCTCTTCCTGTGCTGGTCATAAACGTTTCCACACTGGCTGGCTCCCAGTCATGGCAGTCTCAGGCTTCCAATCACGGTGCTGTTCCTGGCTTTCCGAGCTGTGCCCTGGTGGTGTCCTCAGGTTGCCCGAAGCTTGTGGCATCCTGGGGCCACCCAGGCTTATGCAATAGGGACTTGCATGCTATGAAACTCTTTTCCTCTGTTACATACTTTGCCTGGACCGGCTTAGCAGAATGATTCCATTGAATCCTGTGGATTTTTTTTTGAACAGGGTATCAAACTTGGTTTTTTTTTTCCTTTTTTTTTATTACTTTATTAATATTAAGAAGAAAAGGTAAAGCAAATTTTCACAACAAAATAATGAAAAAGTAACAATTGTTAATAAATTACACAACATTATCTTTAGTCACTCAAGTACAAAATATGGGCATAAAAATTACTTCAGTCAATATTGGCACAACCTTTCCTGTTCAGTGAACTAAGTGACACTAATGGTACAACTAACTTGCATTTGTTTCTTTTCCCTTCTATCCTTTCTCTTTTCCCCTATCTTAGTTTCTTCTTTTTATTGAACAGCTTCCTCCCATTTCACAGTGACTATTGTATATTTTGAACCTTATGGTTTCACATATGTCACTGTAGTGTGATGTTTTTCAATCCTTCTGGGAAGATACACAGAAGGGGAATACCTGGGTTGAATGGGACCTCCAATCCTAATTTTTTGAGGAATCTCCACACTGATTTCCACAGTATTTATACTAATCTACTCTCTAACCAACAGTTGTAAAGGGTTTTTTTTTTTCCCTACAGAACCAGGAGCATTTTTTTATAATGGCTTGATATATATTTTTTAAAAATTAAATGATTTTTTTAATGAATAAGGGAGAGGATGAGATAAAAGGGGGCATAACAACATAACAATACAGGTTAAAGCATAACACTTTCAGCAATCTAGTGCTTCACCACCAAATAACCCGACTTAATAGTAGTTACCATAGAGTCTTTTTCTTTGAAATATTTGAATATAACTTCATATGCTATAGCATCAAATATATCAAGACTGTGTAACACCATTCAAGTGGATGAAAGCATTGTAGAGTATTTAGAACCAGCTAACAGAAAAAAAATGATCAACGGTTTCAATATTATCTCTTTGCCTATAGCAATTTTGTTTATACTACCACATACAATAAAGTCCAGCAAGTTACAGCATAATAAAATCAATGGAGACAGAAGAACCGTAGTTTGGTACGGCTTTAAGACAAGATGTTATTAAATCAGCACTAGCTGTTATTATGTCTTATTTTCTTCAAAGTGGCTGTTCATTGCATCACCGGCCATGATATCAAACAGCCCAGAATAAAGCCATTCCAAGTAATGAGTGAGAATTTTATAAGGCTTCAAGGCCATATAATGGGGAATCATGGTTATCGCGTACTTTTATATATTTGATTCATTTCCTACACTAGGGAAACTATTCGGAGTTCACAGATGCGAGTTTGATTTAGTTCACTTATGAGTATGGTTTCAAGCTGCGCCCATTTATTGATAAATACCTCAATGTCATCCTTCTTTATAGCTGAGTAGTACTCCATTATGTAGAAGTACCACAGCTTTTTTATCCATTCCTCGGTTGATGGACATTTGGGTTGTTTCCATGATCTAGAAATTACAAATTGCGCTGCTATAAACATAGGTGCGCATATATCACTTTGGTATGATGCTTTCAGTTCTTCTGGGAAGATGCTTAGTAGTGGAATAGTGGGAACAAATGGGACTTCCAATCTCAGCTTTTTGAGAAATCTCCAGACTGACCTCCACAATGGCTGCACCAGTCTACACTCCCACCAACAGTGTAGGAGAGTTCCTTTTTCCCCACAGCCTCTCCAGCACTTGTTGTTGTTGGTTTTCTTGATCCTGGCCATTCTTTCAGGAGTGAGATGGAATCTCAGTGTGGTTTTAATTTGCATTTCCCTAATAACCAATGATGATGAACATTTTTTCATGTATTTATTTGCCATTTGTATTTTCTACCTCTGAGAAGTGTGTATTCATCTCAGATGCCCATTTTTGGATTGGGTCTTTGAATTTTGGGGGTCTGATTTTTTTAATTCTTTATATATTTTAGACAAAAGTCCTTTGTCTGAGGGGAAGTTCACTAAGATCTTTTCCCAGTTTGTGGGTTTTCTTTTCACTATGCTGGAGATTTTTTTTGACTTACAAAAACTTTTTAATAAGAGGTAGTCCCAATTATTGATTCTGGGAAGTATTTCCCGTGCTGTTTGAGTCCTGTTCATGAATTCTCTACTTACCCCTATGTCTTCAAGGTTTCTACCCAATTTGTCTTCCAATAGATTTAGTGTTTCTGTTTTAATATTCAGATCTTTAATCCATTTAGATTTTAATTTAGTACATGGTGATAGGCTTGGGTCAAGTTTTAGTTTTCGGCAAATGTAGAGCCAGTTTTTCCAACACCATTTATTAAAAAGACTGTCGTTCTTCCAGTGAACCTTGTGACCTTGCGCTTGGGTATCAAACTTGTGACCTTGCGCTTGTCAGGCAAGCGCTTATGCCCCTGAGCGAAGCCCCTGGCCCACTTCTGGGGTTTTCTGTCATAGTGTTCAGGTGAAGATGTTTGTGAGGCCCTTGGTTGTCCTAGGAGAGACTGAACCCATCTGAAGAAGTCGATGGGTTCCAGGGGTGATCGCCACAGCCTGGGGACCATGAAGCTGCTGCGTAGGAGACAGGATGCATCTTTCTCGTCAACCCGGGCAGGATGGCGTTTTCCTAGCTGCTGCTAAGAGAGAATAATTGAAAAATACAATCAATGTTTACTGTAGAATCTTACTAATATAAAAGATACATTGTTGTTAATACTCCTCAGAATCTTCCCCCTCACTTTGAACACACTATCCCACTGCTTTTGTCACTTTTGGAAGCAATTTTGAAAGTCCTTTTTTGTGAACATTTTTATTGTGCTGTTGCGGCTTCTTGGGTGCCCCAAATTGGTTCAGAATGTTCACTTTTCCTGGGCATTTTGGCTGTGGAGAAAATACAGAAATCACATGGTGACAGGTCCAGTTAAAAGCAGATCCTCATCTGCTACTTTTATGAGTCTGTATTTTTAGCAACAACTTTCACCCCATTTTTGATCATACTTCATAAGGATCCTCAATCTATTTTAAAGCTTCCAGACCTTGGTGAAATAATGCTTAAGAGAGTGCTTAGGAAGAGGTCATGACACTGCTGTAAGCACTCAGTGATCTGTTAGGAACATGTGAGTATGAAGATCACAAAATTAACACCTGATAGAGCATACATGTAGTTTACAGAGCCCTTTCTGTGGCCAATAGATATTTTAGATGCACTGGGTAAGGTCAGGAAAGTCCACTGTGCATGTGGAAATCCTCTGCACATACATAGTCCTTTATTTTTTGATGTAGTCTCTCTCTCTCCCCCTCCCTCTCTCTCCCCCTTTCTCCCTCTTTCTCTCTCCCTGCCCCATCCCGTCCCGTACCAGGAATTGAACTCAGGATCTTACACTTGCCAGGCAGGTGCTTATGCAGCTGAGCCAAATTCCTAGCCCCCTATTATTCCTCTTTTACAAATGAGGAACCTGAGGACTTATAAAAGGAATTTTGAGGTCTCACTAACCTTGTGGTGTCAGAATCATAACTGACACAGAAGCCCTTACCTTCAAAAGTTGTGTGTGATATGCCTACATCTTGCTCTCTATTGTGTTTATGTCTTTAGCTTCACTCCTAATGTCACTCTTTGAGAGCCTTGAATTAGAACACGTCAAGTAACCTTCAGATGCTACATTAGTGATAGCTTATTAGGAAGTAGGATGTGAAAGTGGGCATGTTGGCACATGGCTGTAATTCCCCAACTTTTTGAAACCAAGGCAAGAGGATGCAGGTTTGAGCCCAGCCAGAGTAATTTAGTGACTTAACAAGATGCCTCAAAATAAAGAGTAAAACTGCAGATAGAGAGGTAGCTTAGTATTAAGGCCTTAGCTTCTGTCCCCAGTGTTAGTTAAAGCATGAGTTTGATACAAGGAAATTACCTGTTCTCACAGCTGATAATGTGTTTAAGATTATGTAGCCCAGGTAAGACTACTGTAAAACAAATTTTTATAAGTATATTTTAGTTTTATGACCTTTATGTTTTATTGTTATTACTTTATTGCCCTGACTTAAGACCCAGGTCTCTAATTAAATTAATAATTCATTTAAGTTTATGATGAACAGAAGAATGGAAAGTAGATCTGTGTTTTTGCCTAAATCCTTCCCTATGAGATATTAACTAGATAAGAATATTTGTGGTGTGTTTTTCGTTGTTGCTGTTTTGTTAGTTTTTTAAATTGAGGATAAGTAGTCATACAGGGGCTTGGGTGTGTGGGTGCTGTCACTTTCTGTGTTTGACCTCAGGCAAATCACTTGGCCATTCTGAACCTCAGTTTCTCTATCTGTTAAAGGAAAAGATAGTTATTTCAAAAGTCAAATTAAATAGTGTATGTGATAACTCTGCAGCTAGTAAGTGGTAATACATTTTATTTTGCATATTGACTGGTGATCAACTCTTGAACAGTAATATGTAGTTTCTGATATTCTCAAAGTGCATTTTAACCTGACAGCAAAATTCTCAGGAATTTAGTTTTTACATCTCATGCACAGTTCTTGGGTGCTGTATATGGATGAAAATAGTTGTATGTGAGTACTTTCCGTAGTTCTAGTCTTCCAGTCCTGTGCTTTGGGAAACTAAATGGTAGAACATAGCAGCTTTGTTCCGTGTCCTTAGAGCATTACAAAGCCCTAAAAGAATGTTAAAGCAGTTTCAAGAATCTTATTTTCAGTTTCAGAATATTATTTTATTAGGAAGTAAGCTTTCACAGAGAGATTTTGAGAAAAATCGTATTTGAAAATCACATCTGGGGTGGCAGAATGAGTTATCTGATATTAAATGTTAATGTTTGTACCAGTATCCTAAAGCCTATGAACATACTCTTTCTCCAGGTTGAAATTATCCAATGATGAGATCAAACGGGCAATTCTAACAATGGATGAGCAGGAGGATCTGCCAAAGGACATGTTGGAGCAGGTGAGCTGCCAGACGTTTCTTGGAGCCCGAATGCTTTCAGTGAGAAGTGAATATTGGGAAAATCAGGTTGTTACTCAGAGATACCTGCCACACCTCTGAATAGAGATGGTTGAACCAAGGTTCCATGTGGCTCTCTTCAGAGACTTCATGACTTTGTTTTCTCATTGTTTTTCAAAATGATAGCTGAAAGGAGTCAAAAAGCCTTTGAGCCACATTGCCAGGTTCTGTCCCTGAGCTGCAATTAAATATTTTATTTTAGGAACTTACATAAGTGTACTACCTCTAGTAGAAAATATATCTTACAGGAATGTTGAGAATCACACTACACTATGAGATTACAAACTCTAAAACTGTTCATTACTAAACGCTTAATACGATTTGTGTCTTGGTCTTGGCTCATTATTCCTTGGCTCATATTCCATTATACAAGTACAGAAGCCACTGTTAGCTCCAGCAGTGTTAACCTGTGTCTACATAGCCATGTGTCACAAGATAAATTATCACATTCTTGGAGCTGAGTCTTACCTCTGTGCATGTATATTGTCCTGTTCTGTCATAAACAGCAGTAGGTCCAAACCCCAGGCCCAGAAAGTGGAGTTTACACATCCTACACATCTCTGTCCTTGGAAAATTTTATTGTTCATAGCCAAGTAGCTAGTCTCCCCTGGTGCCCTGGTCCCTCTTTGTGTAGTCGTTCTGTAGCACTTCTGCTCAGCCACTCTGTGTTGTTCAGCAGCTCTGTACAGTTGTCCCGAATGACGATATTGTTGATGTGTTCCAGAGCTTGTCACCTATCTCTGCCCCCTGCCCCTCAATCTAGGCCTAATTTTTTCTGAACTCTCTGCTAGTATTTGCAGAATGCTCTAAGGCTGTTCTCTGTGTGTGTGTGTGTCTGTGTCTCATTGTCCATGGGATGGAATCAGAGTGTCTTTTGTCAGAGCCAGATCCATTTGAGATCGACTATATACACACGAGACCATGATTCTAGGCTGAATATGGGGTCTCATCTAAAGCATGCTGAGCACTGCAAGCAGACAGCAAGGGTATTTTGCACTGGTAACCATATCTACACTGAGCAAGGCCCTTCTGAGTCCAGAACCTGTCTTCCTTCATGTGCATTTTCAGTGGTCCTCTCTAATGGCCTTGAAGGCCTCAGACACAAAGCAGGAAGCAGTTGTGTCATGTTACCCCCACAAATGGACCTGCAGCTGGTGTCATTCTGGATGAGGCCCCTCATAGGTAGCAGCAGAAACACCACTCATGCTGTCCTTGGAAGGTTCGATTTTTCAGAGGGGCTAATGGCTGTGTCCTCAAGCTCCGTGGTGCTCGTGTGGGGAAGGCCTGCCCGTGTCCTGTGGTGTGTTCTTGCCCTCTGCATGGCTTCTCTCCCTCCCCACACTCCCGCCACAGCCACTGCTGGCCTGCGACAGTGACACCAGTCCTCGTCAGCCCCCTCCGGCTCGCAGGGGAGCCTGCCTTCCAGTTGCTGACCTGGAGGGAAGCGCTGAGTGGAAAGCTGCTGTAGTACTTCTGTCCTAACCCCTATTGACAAGGTCGTGCATTTAAAATTCCACAAGATGTGTTTACTGCGAGACAGCATCCAACAAAATTCCTCCTGGAGGATTCCAGAATCTTGGCCAAAAGAGCTCACAGTGCAAATAGAACACACTTCAAATAAACAAAAGTAAGAAAATCTGTCTACTGATGCAGCATCTGGCCAAGAAAGTTATTTTGACCTGGTCCTCCTGATAATTCTGTGAGGTCTCTGCTCAGCTCCCACATTCCTTTTCGCTCCCTTATTTTACTTTACTTCATCTTCTTTACTTTATTCCATTCCCCTCTTCTAGATAGATTTGATGCCAGCATCTCTACCTCTATTTGTGATTTGTATGTAGAGCACATTTCCCCCTTCCTGTCCTGCTGCTTGTGGCTGCTAAACATCGTCTTAGATGAGATGTGCGTGCCTCTTCCTTGGAATCATCTCTTCCTGCCTTTCCAAAGGCTTCCCAACACCCGTTGTCTCTTAGAGCTCTCCGCACACAGTGCCTCACTCAGCGCTCCTCTGAGGGAGCAGAGCCTCAGTGAGGTGCCTCTTGCTGGGATACTAGATGTGGCCTCGGCCTCGGAGCAGGTAGGTGAGACGGAACCATGCAGGTTGCCAAAAGGACCCAGAGACTAGAAATGAGTTCTCTTGCCCATTATGTAACAGTTCACGCTAATGGAGAAAAATAAACCCAAAGTTTTTTTCTCCCTCTCCTCCTTTCTTCCCCTTACCTAACTCCCTTCTGTACCTCCTGCATCAAGGAAGAACACACATTTGAACAGACAGAAGTGAGGAGCTGCCCTGTCAGCAGGTTTCATTCCACCTCCTTTTCTGTCTGCTCCAAAGAAAGAGACTGTCTGTGCCTTGCCTCTGCTCTGGCCCCATCCCTTGCTTCTTCTCAGGAGCTGCCTCGCTGACTGCCCGAGGTCCTCATCCTTGTCCTGCTGACTCTTCACTCACGGAGTCTCAGCCTGTAATGCACACATGTATGTCCACACACATGCACACCATCTGTTGTCTTCTCTCTTTCTGGCATAGCCGATGGTCTTGAAAATGAGTCCTTCATCACTTCATCTTCATTCGTTGTCCTCGTCCTCGCCTCCCAAAAGTTGTTCTCCTGAGGATACTCCCAGGTTCCCTTTCGGCAGAGCTGAGGACTCTGCACCGCCTTTCTCTTTCTTCTCCGGGCACTGTGGCTCGAATGGCCACTGCTCTGGCCGTCCCACTTCAGCCTCCTTTGATGGTTCTTCCTCCTCTTGGCCTTTAGTGCTGTTTTTCTCTGCTTCTGCTTTTTCCTCTGGACAGTCTCACATTCATACCTTCCTGTCACAGCCAAAGCCAAGAGTCTGCTTCCAAATAGATCCTCTGTTTATCCAGCTGCCTCTGAGAAATCACTGTTTAGCTTCCTTGAGACTATTTCAACACTAATTCACCTTCTCCTTCCCATCCCACTTCCAGCCTCTTCTCCCTAGTTTCCTTGTTAAACACTCTACCTCTTGTTGCCTAAGCCTGAAGCCCAAGCCTCATCCTTGACTGTTGTTCCTTCATTTCTCACAGTCCACCCACCACCAGCTCCACTCAAAGGTCCACATAGCCCTAGAATCTATCAGCCATCCCTACCCGATCTAGTATACCGTCGTCTCTCACTGGATTACTGCGCCAGCTCTCTTGTCAGATTCTCACGATTTTGATCCCTTCTTATCCTCCATTCTGAAAGCCCAGTGATCATTTTAAAATGCAAACTCACTCCTGTACATAAAAGTTGAAGGTATTGCACATAGATCCCAGGGAGCCTAAAAAGACTTCTTCCAAGTCCATTGCTACCGCCTGCCCTGCCCACTCTGGCTCCTGCTGCTGTCGCTGCAGCTGCTCCTGTGCCAGTGTGAATACTCTGCCACCTGCCCAGGTGGGAACACAGTGCACAGTTTATCAAACATACTTCCAACCTCTTACCACTTCCCGTAATTCCTCATGCCTCTGTACCTGTAATTCCATTTCTCTATATGGTGTGCTCATGTCATCCTTCAAAATAAAATAGGGAATCAAAAACACCAATGTATTCCTGTCACTCAGCTCCACATGGATTAATTAGTTAGATGAAATTAGATAAGCAGAAAAATAAAATCAAATGGGAACTACAGTGGCATTATTCATTCAGTCACAGCTTCACTGAAAAAGGCATGGAGGTAGGAGGCAAAGAGACTGAGGTCTCCTTCTGATGCTGGCACAGCTTGCTGTGTTACCTGGGGACCCCACGTCCTTGCCGCCCTCAGTTGTATCCCTTTCCTGGAATCTCTGAAGTCCTTCCTCTAGTCTGTGCAGAGGGTGCTGGAGGGGAGCATCCACAGGTCTTACTTGAAAGCCTGTGGAAAGTAGAAAGGTGCCAGAAATGAACTGTAAACCAACTTAACTAGTTTCAAGTAGAAATGTAAATATTTAATCATTCTCATTATATCTTGGTCACCCGTGAGCACAGTTTATAATTTAAAAGTTAAAATTTCATCTTGGGACAGATGACCTGAGAGTATGAAAATGTCCTATAGAAATATAAGTTACAAACTTTGACTTTGATGTCTGCTTTTTAGCTTTTGAAGTTTGTTCCTGAAAAAAGTGACATAGACCTGTTGGAGGAACACAAACATGAATTGGATCGGATGGCCAAGGCCGATCGCTTCCTTTTCGAGATGAGCCGGTGAGTTAGAAGATGCTGAAGACTTGAGTTGGAAGATGCTGAAGACGAGTGAAGTCCTTACCTAACTAAGAAGTTAAACCTGCATTTTGGGTTCGGTTGCTTGGGCCAATTAATTTGCTTACTTTAAAACTTTTTTTTTTTTTCATACCAGGGATCGAACTCACAACTTCATGCTTGCTAGGCAGGCACTTATGCCACTGAGCTAAATCCCCAGCCCCAAACATTTTTTCTTCTCTATTTTTTTTTCTTTTTTCCCCAAATCCATTTTATTTTTAAAAAAAAAGAAGAAGAAAAAAAAGAAAAGCTAAAATTTCAAAACATGTCAATAAGGGGGCAACAGTCTGCATTGTCATCACATACATTGTGCATTGTTATCACCAAATCATTTACCTGGAGCACAAGACATCTGTATTCAAGTGTCTAAACAATACCAGTATAGATCTTTCTCTTCAGTGAACTTAGAGAAATCAGTAGTATAACTCTCGTAACTATGTTTTTATATAAATATACATACATGTTGTCTCGGCTGCTCACACTAATGAGACAATATGATGTTTACATGTGTTTTATTTATTTCACTGAGTATGGTCTCAAGTTGTATCCATTTACCTATAAAAGTCTCAGTTTATCCTTCTTTGTGGCTCCGTTGTATAAAAATACTATATCTTTTTTTATCCATTCCTCAGCCGATGGGCATTTAGGTTGTTTCCAAGATCTGACTATCACAAATTGTGCTGCTATAAACATGGGTGCACATATATTGCTGTGGTATAATGTTTTTAATTCTTTTGGGCAGATACCCAGAAGAGGAAGAGCTGGCTCAAATAGGACCTTTAGTCCTAGTGTTTTGAGGAATCTCTACACTGATTTCCACAGTAGTTGCATTCCCACCAACAGTGGAAAAGGGTTCCATTTTCCCAACAGCCCCTCAAGCATTTATTGTTGCTTAATTTCTTGATAGCCATTCTTTCTAGGATGAGATGGAATCTCGGTGTTCTAATTTGCGTCTCTCGAATGACCAGTGATGTAGAACACTTTTTCACGTATTTATTTGCTGTTTATATTTCTTCATCTGAGAAGTGTTATTCCTCTTAGATGCCCATTTTTGGATTGGGGCTATAAATCTGAGAGGATTTTTTTTTTTTTTTTGAGTTCTTTATATGTTTTCTATTGTAATCCTTCGTCTGAGGAACAGCTGGCAAACATTTTCTCCTACATTTTAGTTTGTCTCTTTACACTGTTGGTGGTTTCTCTTGCTGTGCAAAAGCTATTTAGCAGTTGTTAATTCTTTGTGATAGTTCCTGTGCAGTCAGGGTTTTGTTCATAAACATAAAGTCTTTACCTACACCAATGTCTTCAGGAATTTTACCTATTGTATCTTCCAGCAGATTTAATATTTGTTTTAACACTTAGATCTTTGAGCCATTCTGATTTTAGTTTAGTACATGGTGAAAGATACAGGTACAATTTTAGTCTTTGGCATGTGTACAGCCAGTTTCTCTAGCACCATTTATTAAAGAGGCTGTCTTTCTTCCAGTGAATGTGTTTGGCAGCTTTGTCAAAGATAAGTTGGCTTAATGTGTCTTGTGTTGTTCCTGCATCTTTTAATCTATTTCATTGATCCTTGGGTCTTTTTTTTTTTTTTTTTTTGTTAATACCACACTTGAAAACACTTTTAGATTCTAAATATTTGTTCCCAAGTCTGAGCTGTGCAGAATTTGATTGGTGTGCTCTTGTGAGCTCTAACGTGAGGGCAAGCCAGGACTGGGCTTCTTCACAGCACTTTTTCTGGGCATCCCTGGTTATGTGCTGTGATTTTGTTGGGTCCTAACTCTTCCTCATTCCAGTCACTGCCACTGTCCTCCCATTTTGATTTCTTCAGGTAGAATCTCGTGCTTGCTAGTGCCTTGGCACTTAAGCTGTGATAAAATAGGGGTAAGGCAAACTCTGGGGCATCAACCTCGAACTCCTGTAACTGAGTGGTGGGGGTCTGGATGTCAAATTGGAAAACATGCAGACCCTACTAATGGACTGGGGTGCGCCTCCTACAAGGCTTGGGAGCTCGGGGCCCTTCTCCGAGGGCCCGACAGCCACTGCTGTGTGATAGGGTTGGCATGTGAGCTGGGTCTCTGCCAGCCCAGCCAGTGGATTCTGCATTGGAGAAGGACTGTGGCCCTGAAGCCTGTAGCCTTGGCCCAGAGCTCTCTCTGCCAAAAGCCACAAACGCAGCCTGAAAGAATGCAGCACTCGCTGGTCATTGTGCCCGGTGTGGATTCTCTGTGTTGTTGCTGCTCTTCCGTCACGATTTGCTCTTCTGTATTCTAAAGTCTGACGAAGGAAGGCTTAGAAGCATCCACAGGTGCACCCAGTCACCTTCAGTGCAGAAAGCAAGGGGCCATGAAACAGAGCTGCCACTTACTAAGCACCCCGAGGTCTGTGCTTGTGTTCCTCAGCCCTGCTAGAAGAGATAGCAGGGAGGGAACTAGAAACCAGGAAGCATCTTTTCCATCTGCTGACAACAGGAAGCTCGGGGGAATTGGGAATTAACAGGAGTGAGTCTGCTGCACGACAGGTCTGCTGAATTACGTGGCACAGTTTTAAAAGAGGCTACAATATAGTCCCGCCAGACTGATGTGTCCATACCAGGTGGGTCAGAGAACACTTAGTGGACCCCCAAGCAGTAAGCACAACTGAGCAACAGGGATCAAAGGCTGCATATGCTCTTGTGCCCTTTAATCACTCTGAGAAGGAAGAGCTTGCGGCATTGGTATGAAAAAAGCTTGGAGTGAGCGGTGTTACGGAGAGATGATACTGAAGACAAGTCTTTACAGGTTTACCAAAAGTCACATTTTGTGAAACGTTAAACTTGGGGGACGCATAGGAAGCTGTCCGCATTTATAGTAGTAGGAGAAAGTCTTTGTACTATTCCTCATTGTTGTCTCCATGTCTCTCACTTTGAGGGGAGGAAACCACTGTTCCTTGTTGGTGCCCAGGGCTTTTGCCCACATACCTTGAATCAGGCAGCAGAGATAGCTTATGTGTTAAGTGAACATTAATCAGTTCATGCTTTCTCTTACAGAATTAATCATTATCAGCAAAGACTACAGTCGCTGTACTTCAAAAAGAAGTTTGCAGAGCGTGTGGCAGAAGTGAAGCCCAAAGTGGAAGGTAAATGCTGGTCTTTGGCTGCTTGGGGTGCCCTGTGTCTCAGTGCTCACTTTCAAAGTTGGGTCCAAGCACACATAGTCAACAGTGGCCCTTAGCTGGCTTTTTCACTAGAAACCTCTCAAAATGTTAAGATCAGCGTTTGGCCTGCTGGCCTTGCCTGCACTCTTCCGCTGGGTTGGGCCTACATGTGTAGCTCAGAGACTAATTTGACTGCTGCTAGCAAATAACCTGTAATTAGCTCTCTTGCAAGAGGGCCTTAACCAATTCTTCTAAAGGTAGGGTTGAGGCTTTTAAATGTTTGAGGTGTAGCTGAAGCCACCCAAAAGCACAGCTACTGAATGTGACCTGGGATCAGAGCCTGCTGGAGCTCCAATCTGTTGTGACACTTTGAGCCATAATGTGTCACAAATTTGATCCGTTCACTATCAGTGGAGTGATTGAAACACTGAACAAATGAGTGTTTGCGAAGGAATTTAGAAGTGGAACTGCTATGCTATGTATTCTTAAACACTTAAGGTTGAGTCAGCCCAGGAAAGGACAAGAAAGGAGAACGATCTGCAGCAGACTGTGGGATCTCTCTCCACTGTAACCCTGCCTTGCTGCTTGACTTGTCATTCAGGTGTTTCCCACAGTCTAGTCAGTTGGGCTCGCGGGCCCAGTATCTGATATGGAGTGTGACTTTAGGATGGTATCACTTAAAGTCTTGGTTGTATTAATTATGTTCTTACGTGGTTTGTTTCAAAGCAATCCGTTCTGGCTCAGAAGAGGTGTTTAAGAGTGGTGCCCTCAAGCAGTTACTAGAGGTGGTTTTGGCATTTGGAAATTATATGAATAAAGGCCAAAGAGGCAATGCCTATGGATTCAAGTTATCCAGCCTCAACAAGATTGCTGACACTAAGTCCAGTATTGACAAGTAAGTACAGGCTCTTCTGGCGCTTGAGGTAGTTGGGTGAGTAGGCAGGCGTGGGGTCCCCTCTCAAGGTGACTGGCTGTTGTTCCCTTGCTGAACTTCTTTCTTAACACTCTCCTCTTTCTCTGGCAGTGATTCCTCACTCTCCTCTCCTGACTGTGAGCATCCCCCAAGTTGTTTTCATCCAGTCCTCCTTCATCCATTCTCAGCACATAGGAACACCCTCTATTCCACGTTGTCCTTTATCAGTCCTGCTTTTCTGGAGGAGCAAACTTTTAAATTACAGTTTAATATATTAAAGAGAACCCACTAATCCTAAGTGTACAGTGTGATGAATTCCGACGCATCAGCTATTCCTGTACAATTGAGATGGAGAAGCTCTTAGGAAGTCTCTCTTGGTAGTGACTTCCTCTACAGAAACCTGTGTTCCAGAGAGAAGCCACAAGCTGGAAGCTGGGCTGGACTGGTGTGAAGCTTGTTGGGTTTATAGGTTGTATGTTCCTTCACATGTTAGAGCTAACAGCTATATGAAAAAATGGTCATAGTAAGTGTATTTTAACTGTTGGCATCAGCTTTTCATCTTAAGACTTATTAAAATGCTTCCTAGAAAGTGTTCAGCCCTACAGTTTGGGTGAGCAGATTCTGATTGTAGACATCAGGATATATAAACACTTACATGAACAGGTAGGGTCATTATGCATATTAATTCTAGTCTCCCTAAAAAACTCAGTTTCTTTGAGGTTTTGAATGACTTTAAAGAAACTTGACCAGCTTTTTCAACAGTGAGCTTCTTTGTACCTAAATTCTTTTTAGAAGTATGACTTTTCATCCTAATTATTCCCTACTACTGAGGCTTTCTGCCCTGTATTTCTGTAGGGTTTCTGAAACATGCCTATAACAACCCTCAGCCCATTTCAGGAGAAATGCCCTATGTGTTGGCTGTTTTACACCATGGAGACGGACAGCAGCTACTGTGTCCCTAAGCCCTGCCACCGTATCTAATGTGTGCGCTCGAACCTTTTCTTAGCACATTCACCTCTGATACCAGAGCAGCCTGTGGAGTTGAGAGGCCAAATCTGATTCTGCCTTTAAGGAAACAGAAGCCGCATCCTGTGGCTCATTGAACTTGCCTAAAGTTGTAACAAGCGAGTATTTGGCTTCATTTCACACCTGTTCTGTTGGTCATCCACAGCTGTATTCCTGGCTACAGGAGGATCTTATTTGGAGATTGTAATAGGAACCAGTAATGTCTTAACTGCATATAAAGACCAGCTACCTTTTCACAGAAGGCTGTTCTTTTCAGCTGCAGGGATTGGCACACTTACAAACCCACGAGTCACCCACTTTACCCCTGCACTTACAAATAACCCAGTGTTGATATGATTATCTGATTTTTGAGATGGCTACAAAATGTATCTAATATATAAACCTTTTAAAATGAGTAAATCAAAGCTACTTCTCTTTTTCCTGTTTCTCCACTGTGTGTAATCCCCCAGTGTAGCACCAATGTATTTAAACTTGCAGTGCCTCATCAATAAGAAGTGTCTCACTCAGTGCTGGTGGGAGTGAGTGTCAAATGGGGCAGGCACACTCAGCACAGAAGACGCAAGATCTTGGTGACTGCTGACTAGAGGCACTAGTCAGCTGTGTGGCTGCTTAGTGGTCGTTCATTAAGAATTTATATTTAGTCAAATGAGCTGCTTTTCTGGATAGCAAATAAATGTGAGATTTCTGACCTGGTTTCAACCCTTTCTACAGTAAGCCAGGTACATCTAATTCATTGGGTTAATGGAAATTCCTCTAAGACAACCAGAAGAACTCGCCCTGCCCTCTTGTTATGGTAGCAGGCGTTTAGTTTTCCTGCCCTCCCCTTGGGCAAGAGGCATGAAGGCAGACTGGTCAAGTCTGTGAACAGCACCGCTCACATGGACAGACCAGCTGAGCACCAGCACATTCATCCCAAGAGCTGTTGTTTTGTTTTGTTTTGTTGTACCAGGCAGTTGTTTTCTAATTAATGAGAAGGAGGTGGAGAGAAATTCTTTTAAAATGTGAATCCTTAACCAAGAATAGTATTATATGTCCCTATGAAGCCACAAGGATAACCAGAAGGGCTTTCATTGTTATAGAAAAGAAAATTGTTTGGCAGTTCTGATTCACTTTGGTTAAAGGTGGGTCAAGTATTGTGATTTAGCCTTTTTAATTAGCAGCTATGGAAGTATGAAAAGCATTTTTGACCTCCTGATGATCATAACTTCAGTAGATTAGTTCTGGTGCATGTTAGCATCACTAGGAAGTTTAACAAACACCCAGGCCTGGCCTCACCTCATTCCAATTAAATGACTCTGAGGCTTGGCACAGGCATCTGGAGTCCAGGTGACTGCAGAGTGTAGCAGAATCGGTGACAGGAGGACTGTTATCACACACCCCCTCCAGTAGGGGTCAGCCCTGTTGCCACCAGAGAGGGAGTTGGCACAGCCTCAGTAGTAGGGAATAATTAGGATGAAAAGCCACCAGCCGAAACTGCCACTGAGGGGTCTGCAGTTCAGAGCCAAAGAGTCACTAAAAGCAGCAGTGATTGACAGTGACGGGGACGTCTGATGGGACAGCCATGACCTAGTCCCGACTCAGCCCTGAACTCTGGGCCTTGTAATTCTCTGCCCTTTGGAAGAAACCTTGATTTTAATTATTTCACTTTTTATCATTGCATGTTAATAGTGCATAATGCTTACAGACATCACGTGAGTTGGCTCATGACTGTAACACATCTCAGTTCTTTTTTAAACCCCCTTCCCCCTTCTCACTCACCCTCCTTGCCGCTGCTGGAGACTGCTATATATGTATGCATGTATCATGCAGAGATATCATGTATCATGGCAAAGCCTATATGTTTTTAAAAACAGGTGTCGGTGTACATGATGATCACATTCCTCCCAGGGACCTGGCACACTTGCCTAGCACTTCACAGCCCTCCCCTTTATGCTTTTAATCCCACTTCCCTTCCTGCCCTCTATCTCTTCATTCCCTTCCCAAGTACCAAAGATCCGCTTTGCTATTTACTATTGTCTTTTATTTTGCACCTTATTCACATTGGGATTCTCATATGAGAGAAACCATGCAATCTTTTTAAGTTTTGGTGTCTGATTTACTTAACATTATGGTTTCAAGATGTTTCCATTTTTTTCTTCAAATTACCCGTTAATCCTTGTTTATGACAGAGTAGTACTCCACTTTGTGTAAATAACACATTTTCTTTAGCTATTCATCTGTCACTAGACATACAGGCTGCTTCCAAGATTTAATTTATACTCCTAACAATGCAGAAGGGTTCCTCCCCATCCCCCTGTAGCCTCTCCAGCACTTGTTACTATTGGACTTCTTGATCCTAGCCACTCTTTTCTGGAGTGAGATGGAATCTCAGTGTTGCTTTAAATGGCCAGGAATGCTGAAAATTGTTTCATATATATATTGGCCATTTTTCTTTCTTTATCTGAGCAGTATCTACTCACTTCAGATGCCCACTTTTTAAATTTAGTCTTTAAATTTGGTGAGGGAATCTTATGTTGTTGAGTGCTTTGTATATTCTAGATTATTATTCCTCTGTTGAAGGAGTAGCTGGCAAATTTTTTCCCATTCTGTAGGTTTTCTTGAACTTAATACCACATTTGTGTTTTATCACCTATTATAGAGCTCCCAAACAAACCAAAACTTTCCCAGATGCTTCTGTTTGCAAACCAAATTGTTCTCAAACAAAAGCAGTCATGAACTGAGGTATCACTGTACTTCTGTGTTGAGTATTTGTCTAGTTGATCTATTTGTGACTAAGGTGTTGAGTTCCTCCATTACAATTGTATTGATGTTTATCTGATTTTTCCTCTCCATTAGTATTGTTTTATGAATGTGGATACACTGATACCTGGTGCTTATGTGCTTATAATTATCATCTCTTTCTGTTGAGTTGTTCCCTTAGCCAATGTTTAATAACCTTTTTCTATTCTGATCCACTTCAGCTTGAAATCCACTTTGTCTGCAATTAGAGTAGCTACTCTTGCTTTTATACGGATTCCCATTGAATGGGATACTGTTTTCCCATCTATGATCTTCAATCTGTGAATTTCTTTTTGAATTAAATATATTTCTTATATAACACATCTTGTTGAGTTTTGTATCTTGATCCATTTTGACAGTCTTTTTGTTTTGACTGCAGAACTGAGACCATTCAGACTGAGAGTTACTACTTACTTATTCCTGCATCATTTTTTTTTTGTCTCTGATTTTCTTTTTTCTTTTTTTTTCCCCTGTTGCTTAGTTGCTCATCACACCAACTATATCCATTCTTTTTGACTTACTGGCATTGGCTTCCTTGTCTTTTTCTAGGATATCCTTGATAATGTTTTGAAATGCTGGTTTGGTGGTCGGGAGTTTCTTGAGGTGCTTCTTGTAAAGGAAATACCTTTTCTCCATCAATTTTGAAGGAAAGTTTTGCAGGATATGTTAGTCTGAGTTGGAAGTTATCTCTTTAGGACTTCAAACACTTCATTCCAAGCCCTCCTGGCCTTCAAGCTTTGCTCGAGAAGTTTGCCATAATTCTAATGGACTCACTTCATTTGTGATTCTTTGCTTTTCTCTAACAGCTTTTAAGATTTTGTCCCTGTGATGGACTGCTTGTAATTTAAGAGGAATGTGGCATAGAGAGTTTCTCTTTTGATTGTGGCTCTCTGGGTTTCTGTATGTCTCATTTCTCAGTAAGTTCACTTCTTTCTCCATATTTGTGAAGTTTTCTGCCATTATTTCTGTGAACAGTTTTTTTACACCATTTATGCTATCTTCTAATTTTTCACTTATTCCAGTTACTCTTATGGTAGCCTTCTTTGTGTTATCTTGGGTCCATTTTCATGTTCTTTTGTTGCTTTTAAGGTGTTTTTGTGTAGTTGGTTTTTGAAGTTTTTCATCTTTTAGTTCTGAAATTTCGTTCTCACATTGATCACTTTTTTTTTTTTTTTTTTCCTTTTTATCTGTACCCGGGATCGAACCCACGACCGCCTGCTTGCAAGGCAGGTGCTTATGCCGCTGAGCTAAATCCCCAGCCCATACACTGATCACTTTTGCCACCCATAATTTCAGCATAAATTCTAATCCTTTGCATTTCTGATTGAAACTTTTTCATGGATCCTAATTCTTTGCTAAATTGGTCATTCTTGTTTTGTATTATTTTGCTTAGCTCAGCTGATTTTTATTAGTGTCTTCTGAACCCTTCCAGGTCATCTTACGTGTTGCTTTCATTATCTGTTTAGTTAACATCCTCTGTGATCCCACTGAGTACCATTTTGATGTTTTCTGACCTCTCCTGTTATCCTTGTGAGTAATTCAGGAATGTGGTTTGTGCTGTTTTCCCCTTCGATACCTGCTGAACTGGCTTCAGAGAGGCATTTTGTTCCTTGTTTTCTCATGTTTCTTTTGTTTTGTTTTTTGCTGAGATTTTTGGATGCATTCAATGTAAAAACTTTGTATCATGGATTTAATTCTTTCCATGAGTCTAGTCTCAAACTGAATTGGAAAGAACCAACTCAAACTCCATGGTTAGACTCAGTGTTACCTTAGAGAAATTTGATTGAGTTCTCATTCAGTTCAGTTTGTGACCAGAATTATATAAAGGATTAAATTCATGAGGTATTACTGTAAAGAGAGCTCTTTAGTCACTGTTCAGTGATGTTTTTGGCATTGCTTACTATAGTCCTTTGCCTGTATCCCAAGATTTGCCACTTCTGTTAATTTAATCTGGATGTTGGCTTACAGAAAGAAACCATTAATAGCAACAGTTATGTGACCCTGGTAATACCAGACAAATCAACTACAGTAGAATTGCCCCAGACAAGTTGGATATTAATGTACCCTAGGAACCAATTATGTACTTCTCTTATCACTAGAGAAGAAATCCAGTTACACTGTAAACATTAAGACAACCCAGTACTTAGTTACAGCTAGTATGTTCTAGATGCAACTGCTATATCTCTGCTAATGGTAGAAAAGAATTCAGTAATTTCACAGAGTTAACTATTAAAAGATTAGTAAAGCACTATGGCTGTATTATTAAAGACACAGGGCTTGGGAACAGGGAAGGCAAGGGGAAATGTTAACCTGTGTGACATGAGAAGAAGGAGAGGTGTTATTGGAGAGTAGAAAGATGTTTATGGAATTAAGTAAAGATGACAAAAACTGATGAAAAATAGAAAAGAAAAAACTTGAATGGTAAATAAAAATAAGGAGGAAAAATTAAAAGGAAAAAAAAGAAAGAAAAAGAAATCAGCAAAAGGGTCACACACACACACACACACACACACACGTATACCCAAACCCCAAGAAACTACTGAAAGAGAAAGAGGAAAGAAAAAAAGGGAGGAAGATACGCCCTCACAGAAAGGGCGGCGGGGAGGAATTTCCTCTGTGATTTTTGAATGCACAGGTTTCTTCTTCCAGGATCTACAAGTTTAGAGTAGTGTCCACTCAAGATGTGTCTCTGCATACCATGTTAGATTAAAACAAGGCAGTTAGACACCACATTCATGCTGGATAAAGGAACCAGCAAGCAACAGATCTGAGACAAGGGCTCCAGTGCTGTGCCTTTTGAAGGCAACTTAGGCAGGCCTCATCCCTGACCATGGTGACAGGACTTGTGTCCTGTAACTCAGGACCCTCACAAGGCCTCTTTCCAGCCTGCTCTCTGAGCATGGCTTTCCCTCCCCTAATCACTTTCAGAGGTACCAATGCAAACCCTGAAGTGAAGCCATCCTGTGGCTGTTCTGTGCTCCAGGTTCAAGCAGTCAACCCTTCCCCAGAATGGTATCCAACCAAGCGTTCACCACAGGGATACCGCAGGCCCTTGCACCTCAGTCAATTACCAACTGCTCCCTGTTGAAGGACACCTGTGGAAGCAGAGTCCTGCCCTCCCCTTGCAGATCTCAGCGACTGCCTGTGTTTTACCACCACCCTTCTCCCTGGGCCACCAGAGTTCCCAGGTTTCATCTTGTCTCTGTAGGTTTGATCTCCTGTTCCACCAGCTTCAAACCAGGAGCCACATCCTTCCCTGCATTATGTTCTGTCTCTTCAATTTCTCTGTGGCTTTTAATCTTCCTGACAGATCATTCCTGGTTCCCAGGGAACCTCCTTTCTTTCTTCCCCAAATGATTATCTTCCAGTGTCTGGATTCTGAATCTCAGAGGCAGTTGCACACCACCCCACCATATTTTCTCTGGATGAAATTTTAAGCAAGCAAGATAAATAGTTATCATCAATGAGTTTCCTTTTAGACTTGAAGAGTGCCAAGTACTTCTAGCCTTGCCAATAGCTACATTCTTCATTGAGCTGAACATCCCTCGCCCTCAGCAATCACCACCAGTTCTGTGGATATGGACTTGGAGGTGTGCCCCCATGGGATGGTTCCTCTGTAAAGGGGGAAGTGAGCTTGTCTCCATTGAGAGTGGTTCCCGTGCACTTCCATCACCTGTTAATATTGTCCAGACATGGAAGGGCATGGGCTGATAATGTAATTCTTACTCCCACTTTTCCTTTTGAGGCTCCCTTGTCGTCATCCTCTTGAGAGGACCTACCTGTTCCAAATCTCTTAAGTTTTAAATTTAATACAGGACTATAACAGGATTGTGGATTTTGCTCCTTTAGCATATAAACCAATTGCAAGTTAAATAGTCTTTCCTTCTTTATTTGCACGTTAAATAATCTTTCCTTCTTTAATTGTAGGAATATTACCCTTTTGCACTATCTCATAACTATCGTCGAAAGTAAATACCCAAAGGTCCTCAACCTAAATGAGGAATTGCGGGATATTCCCCAGGCAGCAAAAGTCAAGTAAGTACTCACCGTGCACTGCAGTTTTTTAAATCACTTGGACTGCCACTGGACTAGTTAGTTGACATCCCATGAAGTACAATATATAACCAGGAGTTTTCCTCTAAATTCTGTATGAAATAAAGCTTGCACCATAAACAAATCATTCAAATCTGTCACAAGGTTTTGAATACATGCTTTTTCTAGGTCCTTCTGAAAAACTGCCACACCACTTTTTAACTTTCAGAAATCCTAATTTTCTTAGTTAATAGTATAAAAAAGGAATGTGATTTTAGTAGAGCTTTAAAAAACAAAAAAAGCATACTGTTAAACACAGGAGGTGCAGGATAGGTAAGCACAGATAGAAGGTGTAGGACAGGATAGGTAAGCAAATAAAGATCTACATATAGGGGGTTGCTAGTAATTTTTGCATATGTACACATCCTCTGAAACCAAGTCAGCCTTTCAACATGAAGTAGTCTATGCAAATCAAGAAACTAAAAATAAAGTAGAAATCTGCCAGACTTGTACGACAAACTTGACGCTGCGTGTCACAGGTGGCGAGATTTTCTTAATGTTTTTCCCTGGGTCTTTCTACAAAGCAGGCTAAGCCTTTCCCTCTGCAGAATTTAGTAGAAATGTGATTTTTTTTTTTTTTTTATCGGTACCGGGGATCGAACTCACAACCGCCTGCTTGCATGGCAGGTGCTTATGCCACTGAGCTAAATCCCCAGCCCAGAATTGTGATATTTAAAACATGAGATTTCATTGTATATTGTGAATTATCTTTTAGAATTAAGTTTTAATCTCCAGTGTTAAAAGCTGTGAAATGACTGGCCAGTGCAGGCCTGTCATCCCAGCACTCGAGAGGGTGAGGCAAGAAGGTCTCCACGATTGTGAAGCTAGCCTGCGCTACATAGCAAGATCTTGTCTTAGTAAATAAATAAACAAGCAAATAAATAAATGCCATGAAATAGCATCATAGAAGTCCAGGAATCTTTGTTACAAAAAAAAGCACAATGAAAATGAAAACTATTTAGTACAGCTATAAGAAAAACCAGTGTTGAGGGCAATTGAAGCCATTACTGATAATATTTGTATTATCATTACTGATAATATTCCTATCATCATATCAGAAAGGAGCAGTACACTTACTATGAAGACAGAATGTGTGACTGTAGGTAATGCAGTCTCTTTTACTTTTTCCAAAAGAGCCAAGTATCACAAATTCATTTCTACATATAATAACTTGCTCAAGCGAGATTTCTGTGAGACTTAAACATGAAATGCTTTTATACACCTAGGAGATGTTTCTCTTTTGCTATTTTTAATCTGTAGACTATAACTGCTGATTGTGGAAAACAAAAAGCATGATTCTGTTCCTAAATTCTGTAACTTTAAAATGCTGCATCCTTTCTGCAAGATATGAATATGGCATGAAATATTTAAAGCCATTGTATGTTTAATATGCCTGAGTCACGTGCTGATTTTCACTAACATGTTGCTATTTAAAACAGCATGACTGAGTTGGACAAAGAAATAAACACCTTGAGAAGCGGCTTGAAAGCAGTAGAGACAGTGAGTATGGCTTCCAGTTCTAACTCCAAGTGTCTTCACGATCTCTAGTCCTGATGACTTCCAGCATATAGTTGCCCAGGAAGCACCTACTGATTCAAAACAAAAACAGAAGAGGCAGAGTGCTCAGTCTGGTGACTTGACTGAAGGCCGCAGGCCATCCTGGGTGGGTCTCTGCACCAGTTTACTGGGGGACAGCCTGTGAGAGGGACCCTCTCAGGTCCCATCTGGTTATTATTCGGTGTTACTGTCTCGCCTCTGAGCCAGGTTTTTGGGGGTGTTACCTGAGCAGGTTCTTGGATGTGCAGGGCTCACTCAGGGAGAGGGGTCAGGGAGGAACGGTTCCTTCACAGCCCCATCCCAACAGGCCCAGGGATATGAAGTCTCTGCGTGCCAGGCATGCATCTGGGGAGCTCCTCTCCTGGAGGGAAGGAGCAGCGAGCAGTGGCTGGGAAGGAGGATGGAGAGGACTCGGGTGTGTAGAGCAGGGGCCGCCCAGGGACACGAGGAAAGGGAGTGGGGATGAACTGTGACTGTGTTATTTATTCAGCACTGTCTGGGTAATGCCCAGTGCTGCTGCCCAGGGTCCAGAGGCCAGGGCCAAGGCCAACTGCAAAGCAGGAAAGTGTTTTGTTGTCCACCCTGCCTAAGAAACCAGACCCGGGTCTGGTCTGTTTGTTGAGGGACTGAGGTCAATCACAGACTGCTTAGAAGAACTGCTAAATACCTTTCAGATCATTTTTCTTCTTTTCTTTTTTTAATCACAAAACTATGCCATAGAGAATATTAATTGACTAAAGATATACTGCTAATTACAAACTGTTTTCTTTCATGAATGTGGAAGCATGTGAGGGTTGAGCTTAGTTTTGGTTTTATACGATTGGTTTGTTTGTTTGTTCTAGGGTGGGGGATGATGGCAGGAAGAGGTGCACAGACTGAGCAAACCCTCCTTCCCCATTCCAGAGCAAAGCCACAGAACACAGGAGAAGTCCCACAGTTTGCAGACAGGCCTGTGGGCCAGAGCTGTGCTTAGGCTTGTTGAGCACTTGCCACCCTCTGCCTTTTCCTCTCCATGGTGGCTTTCCTGAGATTTTCATGGAACTGTGGTAGCCATGAGTCATGGTGGATGCCCTGACCTCTGATGCAGAGCTGGTCCAGACCCAGCCCAATGAGGGACAGTGTTATAAGGACATTCTGTGGTTTTAGTTTATTAAACTACATTTTTACAAAAATCTGCATCTCCTAGCTCATTGAAGGAGAACCTTTTATAGATGAGTGCCAAACTGCAACCCCAAACCCACTTACCACAAATTTCCAGCACTACAGTTAACCTTCAACACTGAGGTTTTAGTTTAGAAAAAACAACTCCACATTACCATCTTGTGTCTTAAAAGAAAGCCGTGATAATACATGTGTCATAGGCTCCTACCACTGCCCTCGGCCTGTGGACCATGCCCTTCATAGGGACACGTGCTGCAGTCCTCTGCCCTGCCCCAGGCAGCTGAAATGTCAGGGTATGACCTTGGAAGAACTCATGTGGAGGCAGAGCTTGGCAGGGTCAAATATTCAGGGTCTAATCTTGCTTTGCCTGGATTAATTATACTGTTGAAGGTGTTAGAGGTGAAATTTTTACTAAATGATTCATTAATGAAACACTTGAAGATGCTTTCTCATCCCCATCACACATACATGTTCACTTTCTAGTTTCTTCCAGAGCCAGGTCTATATTTGATGAGTTTTCATATCTGTTACTTCATTTGATTGCCATGGTAAAATGGCTACTGCCAACCTTTAAAATAAGCCCAGAGTGGTTGCCAGGGGTAAGGAGCAAGTAAGTGCTCAAGCTGAGTCAGACCTGTGGCCTCTCCCACTGCTGAGCTCCTGTTTCTTAGTGTCCCGGCAGAGTAGGCACAAAAGAAAACAGGCGATGTCCAGCTACATCAGATGGTAACAGCATCGCGGCCTCTGGGACTCGGGGTCAGGCCGGTCTGAACTCAAAACTCTGCCTGTCACTCATGAAATGCTTGACTTTGGGAAAACAACTAAATTCTTTTAAACCTTAATTTATGTGTCTGACGAATGGGGATAATGGTTCTTCTCAGAGATGTTCTAAGCATTAACAAAGTACATCAGGTAATATTTTAAATTAATTACTGAAATTCAATTTGAATCTCATGTGTGTTTTCATGGTAATGGAGACTTTGGATAATTAACAAGATACTAATTCTCCTTCTGCCTATTCACAAAAACCTAATAATGTAGATAAGAAAGATGGCTGATGACTTGCAGCCAAATGCTACAGCAGTTGAAATTCTTTTGACTCATCTGTTAGAAAATAAATGGATTTTGACAGAGAGAGGAAAGAAGGAAGAAGGAAAAAAAAATCAGGGTAACAGAATTTTGATCACAGAATACCAACTGTCAAAGTCTCTTCCTTTCACTCACAAATCCTTTGAATTCAGTTTTTTCCTATTACTTGTTTGATATCTATAATTTTATCCAAAGCTAATCTGTTTACCTTCTAAAGGCAAGTGGAAATTACACTGATGAAGTACTCAGATAATTGGTTAAATCATCATTTCAGATACACATGAGCGCGTGGGCATGGTGGTGGCGTGGTGGGGAAGCCAGGGCAGGGTATAGTGCTCCAGATGGTGTGAAATAGCAAAACCATGCAGTAAGAGCCCAGGGATGTCCGAGGTGAAGGCCTGCAGCTCATCGTGTGTTTCCTGTGTTGAAGGAGCTGGAGTATCAGAAGTCTCAGCCCGCGCAGCCTGGAGACAAGTTTGTGTCTGTGGTCAGCCAGTTCATCACCGTCGCCAGCTTCAGTTTTTCCGACGTTGAGGATCTGCTGGCAGAAGCTAAAGACCTGGTAACTGAACCCTTGCGTCCTGGTGGTGCTGACTGGGTGGGGCTTTCCTTTGGTACTTTCACGTGTTACACTGTGTGGCAGACAGCAGAGACGGGATTACAACATCATGGTTTGGGGAACAGCAGAGAACTCTTCCAGATTCCACTGCTTTGTATAACAGAGATGCATTTTCATCTCCCGGCACTGAGTTAATGAAATATACTATCTTACAGACTGAGTGGTGTAAAATCAGTGTGTGCTCTGACAGGTTTCTCTTGGTCATTTTGGATTGAAGTGCTTGTCTCTGAGAAGTGCAGTAAATGAAGAAAGCCAGGAAGAGGAGAGACCAGGCCAGAGGCTCTACTTAATGTGCTTGTCCGAGACAGAGTTTCAGGAGGAAAGGGTGCCCCCTCTGTAAATCTCCAGCAAAACTTAATGCAGTGTATTTTAGCTCACAGCCTCGTATAAAGGGTACTTTTTTTAGTAAGTTATTTCTTTGTCTGGTTCTTACCTTTTAAATTTTTGGGAAAGTTTTCATTGGCTGGTGACTAAGACTCCTAAGCAGCCCCCTGAAAGCCCCTTTCCTTCTCTCTCCCACACTCCTCCTGAGGTAAGTATAGTGCTGGACAATCCAGGAAGGGCGAGGCTTACCTGTAGCACGCCAGGCCTTTCCCAGTGGAGGTCTGAGCCATAGCTATGACTCTGGATGGCCAATTCCACTGTGGAGTGTCAGCGGCTGGGCCTCTACCTGCAGTCCTGGAGCTTACACCATACCCGTATGTACATGAAAGAGTACCTCCAGGAGGAGCTTGCCCTTCCCTCGTGGTCCAGCACTGTGTTATTTATCTCAGCAAGGAGTACAAACATGTGAACCAACTAGTTGTATCTTATTTTGTATGGGAACTTCAATCTGGCCCTAGCTTCTTTCCAGTTTCTAAGGCTAAAATACACATTACTTCATCATCACTAGAATTCCTAGATAAGATCATTCAGCTTGGTTTTAAGTGCATGAACTTGAATATTTTAGAAACTGAGTTACTAGACTATTTATTGCGCTTTTGTTCATACCAGAATTTTTAGAAATTAGCTAATAAAACCATGACTCAAGCTAGAGTACTATGGTGTGGGAAGAATATTATTTTTTTCCCCAGAGAGTTCTCTTCTGTAATAAATGTTGTAAACATTGACAGTGACTCCACAGAAAAAAGTGGTTCTAAAAGGTTTACTATAAATTTTACAATTTGAAATAATTATAAAATATGTGTAAATATGTCTTAGTCAAATTGTTTTATTAAAGAATATTGAAAACATTTCCTTATACTATTACTGAAATATTAGAAAAAATATAGTAAAGACCAGTAATAGTAATATAAGGAAAATAAGATCAATTAGAAACTATTGCAGGTGGACTACAAATCCTGTCCTGGCCTAAATATGCAGAAAGTAAGACGGCTGGACAGCTGTAAGGAGCTGAGGAGGCCTCAGGAGAGACTGCATTTGCCTGGGAAGCTCGGAGCACTGTGGGAATGGAGGAGCAGCACTGCACGCGCTCTCCCCTAAGGAGGTGCGGTGCTGACCACCAGCTGCCTGAGCACTCCCTGGGGGATGCATTGAGCCTGGGACCCTTTAAAGAGTCCTGTGGCCAGCTCTGAAGACAGCCACTGGAGAAGCAAGCAGACACCCCCGGGGAGAAAAGATGAGATATACTACTTTGTTGTTCTGTATTTTAATTTCTTAAAATTTTACCCTTCCTATTTTACATTTTCTCTGTTTTTAAAAATCATTAAAAATAAAGCACTGCAAGCCAGCAAAAAGTATGAAAGACCTAGTAATTTTTCTTCTAGCTTTAGCTGTTCACATATCCTGGAGGTCTGTAGCACTCCTCTGTGAAGAGCTTAGGAATGAATCTGAATTTGCATGTTTAGAGAGTGTATCAGCACACAGTAGACCCATCTACTGCTCCTTTGTGTAAATTGTTGGAAGAAATTTGGATATAAAATCCAAGAAATTTTGAGGTTGTCATTGTTTGTCATATTCACATGGAGATGAAAGAATTGTGGCAAGGCAGACAGGATGACTGGATAAGCGGCAGTTCTTTTGAAAAGGGCTATTTTGAAGACAAAGGACCTTGTTAAAGTGACCTTGATGAGTACTGAAGGAATTACATGTGAAATTCCTTAAATAAAATTTTGATATTTTAAAAATAAAAATCATTAAAAAGGTTGAAGTAAAATATTCTTAGCAAAACTTTGAAGTTACATCAGTTCCATCATTAGTTACTGATTTCTAACTAGGACCCAGGAAGTGCCATAACAATGTTAGCATTACTCATGAAATGTTAGAAACCATCACTGAGAAACACTGGGCCCCTTTGCTTTCAGTATTTACCATAGGGTGCCAATGAGCGACACTGAACTACTTCAGAGCAAGGCAGTGAGAACAAGGTTTCCGCTCCTTGAGCTAGCTGCTGTTTTTTGTGTCTTGGCTATTTTGCCAGTGTTTGCTTTCTCATTTTCACTATAGTGTAGTTAATAAAAAGTTAGAGGAGATAATCACAGATGTTAGCGTGAAATGAGGTCAACAGGAAAACGATTTCAGACGTGGAGGAGTATTCAGAGTCTTGCCTTTGAAATACTTGGTGGACGACCCGCAGCCTCCCCAGACCCATCCGGCCCCGTGTGGCTCAGCACGAGCTGCAGACCTGCGAGAGATTTTGTGCAGTTTTCTCAGTGTCCTGAACGTCTTCAAATCTTTCCTCTCCAGTTTACTAAAGCAGTGAAGCACTTTGGGGAAGAAGCTGGCAAAATACAGCCGGATGAGTTCTTCGGCATTTTTGATCAGTTTCTCCAGGCTGTATCAGAAGCCAAACAAGAGAATGAGAACATGAGAAGGAAGAAGGAGGAGGAAGAACGCCGCGCTCGCATGGAGGCGCAGGTGAGAGAGAGGCCCGGGGCTGCCGCACCTCTTGGGAACTGCAGCCCCTTGCTCTCTGGACAGAACTATAATTTATGTATGTATATATGTGTAAATATGTAGTGGGGATTGAACCCAGGCCTTTCAGTGAGTCATATCACCAGTTCTTTTCCTGTTTGTTTGTTTTTTTATTTTGAGACGGGTTTCATTAAGCCTCTGAGTTGCCCAAGCTAAGCTTGAACTTGAGATCCTCAGGTGGACACCACCATGCCCACCTAGCACCCTATTTTGACAAGGAGGTGGTAGCTGTACTCTCTGAGGACCAGTTGCTTCACATTCCCCATACTGTAGAGAAATTAATAATTAATCTCTTTAATGGTAAAACTTCCCTGCTCTATTATAAAACAAGAGTTGCCTGAGTTGTTCCTTCTCAAAGCCAGTACAGGCGGCTTTCCCGCAGGGAAGGTGGCGAGGGGTTCCGGCTTCGCCTGCGTCATCTCTGCCCCTGCCGTGCCACCGTCGGCCCGCAGCGGCCGCGGGTGTGCGCGCGCACAAGACGCCCTCCCCTGGGCCGCGAGCCCTGTGCCTGGACGCCCTCCCCTGGGCCTCGAGCCCTGTGCCAGGACGCCCTCCCCTGGGCCGCAAGCCCTGTGCCTGGACGCCCTCCCCTGGGCCTCGAGCCCTGTGCCAGGACGCCCTCCCCTGGGCCCCGAGCCCTGTGCCTGGACGCCCTCCCCTGGGCCGCAAGCTCTGTGCCAGGACGCCGTGCCCTGGGCCGCGAGCCTGTGCCTGGACGCCCTCCCCTGGACCCCGAGCCCTGTGCCAGGACGCCCTCCCCTGGGCCCCGAGCCCTGTGCCTGGACGCCCTCCCCTGGGCCGTGAGCCCTGTGCCTGGACGCCCTCCCCTGGGCCCCGAGCCCTGTGCCAGGACGCCCTCCCGTCAGCCCCGAGCCCTGTGCCAGGACGCCCTCCCCTGGGCCCCGAGCCCTGTGCCAGGACGCCCTCCCCTGGGCCCCGAGCCCTGTGCCTGGACGCCCTCCCCTGGCCCCCGAGCCCTGAGCCTGGACGCCCTCCCCTGGGCCGTGAGCCCTGTGCCTGGACGCCCTCCCCTGGGCCCCGAGCCCTGTGCCAGGACGCCCTCCGCTCGGCCCCGAGCCCTGTGCCAGGACCCCCTCCCCTGGGCCGCGAGCCCTGTGCCAGGACGCTCTCCCCTCGGCCCCGAGCCCTGTGCCAGGACGCCCTCCCCTGGGCCCCGAGCCCTGTGCCAGGACGCCCTCCCCTGGGCCCCGAGCCCTGTGCCTGGACGCCCTCCCCTGGCCCCCGACCCCTGAGCCTGGACGCCCTCCCCTGGGCCGTGAGCCCTGTGCCTGGACGCCCTCCCCTGGGCCCCGAGCCCTGTGCCAGGATGCCCTCCCCTCGGCCCCGAGCCCTGTGCCAGGACCCCCTCCCCTGGGCCGCGAGCCCTGTGCCAGGACGCCCTCCCCTCGGCCCCGAGCCCTGTGCCAGGACGCCCTCCCCTGGGCCGTGAGCCCTGTGCCTGGACGCCCTCCCCTGGGCCCCGAGCCCTGTGCCAGGACGCCCTCCCCTCGGCCCCGAGCCCTGTGCCAAGACGCCCTCCCCTGGCCCCCGAGCCCTGTGCCTGGACGCCCTCCCCTGGGCCGTGAGCCGTGTGCCTGGACGCCCTCCCCTGGGCCCCGAGCCCTGTGCCAGGACGCTCTCCCCTCGGCCCCGAGCCCTGTGCCAGGACGCCCTCCCCTGGGCCCCGAGCCCTGTGCCTGGACGCCCTCCCCTGGCCCCCGAGCCCTGAGCCTGGACGCCCTCCCCTGGGCCGTGAGCCCTGTGCCTGGACGCCCTCCCCTGGGCCCCGAGCCCTGTGCCAGGACGCCCTCCCCTCGGCCCCGAGCCCTGTGCCAGGACGCCCTCCCCTGGGCCGCGAGCCCTGTGCCAGGACGCTCTCCCCTCGGCCCCGAGCCCTGTGCCAGGACGCCCTCCCCTGGGCCCCGAGCCCTGTGCCTGGACGCCCTCCCCTGGCCCCCGAGCCCTGAGCCTGGACGCCCTCCCCTGGGCCGTGAGCCCTGTGCCTGGACGCCCTCCCCTGGGCCCCGAGCCCTGTGCCAGGACGCCCTCCCCTGGGCCCCGAGCCCTGTGCCAGGACGCCCTCCCCTGGGCCCCGAGCCCTGTGCCAGGACGCCCTCCCCCGGGCCGCGAGCCCTGTGCCAGGACGCCCTCCCCTGGGCCCCGAGCCCTGTGCCAGGACGCTCTCCCCTCGGCCCCGAGGCCTGTGCCAAGACACCCTCCCCCGGGCCACGAGCCCTGTGCCAGGACGCCCTCCCCCGGGCCCCGAGCCCTGTGCCAGGACGCCCTCCCCCGGGCCCCGAGCCCTGTGCCAGGACGCCCTCCCCTGGGCCCCGAGCCCTGTGCCTGGACGCCCTCCCCCGGGCCGCGAGCCCTGTGCCAGGACGCCCTCCCCCGGGCCCCGAGCCCTGTGCCTGGACGCCCTCCCCTGGGCCGCGAGCCCTGTGCCAGGACGCCCTCCCCCGGGCCCCGAGCCCTGTGCCTGGACGCCCTCCCCCGGGCCCCGAGCCCTGTGCCTGGACGCCCTCCCCTGGGCCCCGAGCCCTGTGCCTGGACGCCCTCCCCTGGGCCCCGAGCCCTGTGCCAAGACACCCTCCCCTGGGCCGCGAGCCCTGTGCCTGGACGCAGAGGCGTCGCCACCGAGCTCCAAGACGGCACTTTCTGTTTCAGCTCAAAGAACAGCGGGAAAGAGAGCGGAAGATGCGGAAAGCCAAGGAGAACAGCGAGGAGAGCGGGGAGTTCGATGACCTGGTCTCGGCGCTGCGCTCGGGAGAGGTGTTTGACAAGGACCTTTCCAAACTGAAGCGGAACCGCAAGCGCATTTCCAACCAGGTGACGGACGGCGGCCGGGAGAGGCCAGTCACAAAACTTAACTTCTAGTTTCCTTTCAGTTCTTCTCCAGGAAGCCCAGGAGCAGCCCTTGGAAGCCACTAGGCCTTTTCATCACACCGCGTGGCAGTGCTCTGAGTGCATGCATGTGCAAGTGGATGTGTACATATGTGTGGAACTGTGCGTGGGCAAGTGGGCGTGTACGTACGTGAAACTGCGTCTGGAGACTTACGTGTGTGGTCAGTCCTCTGCGCAGATGCACAGGCACCTGTGGCGTGCGTGCGTGAGAGTGTGCGAGGCCGTGCGCTTCCCTGCTTCCCTGGCACGGGGCCGTCCAGAAGCACAGCGGGGGCCTCTGAGCCGGCGGAGGGCCCTTCCACCCACCCGAGTGCCGAGGCTGGGGCCTGGACGGAGCCCGCCCTGGTGCCGTGCACGGGGTGCAGGCCGGAGTGTGTGCTGAGAACACCTTGCACACGATTTGCATAGAATGTCAGTCAGAACTCTTTTATATGTTTAAAGCTTGGACGTCGGGTTTTTGCCCCCTAATTTCATCAAGTTTTCTGCTGAGTGCTCTTGATGATTTTTTTGTTTTGTCTCTAGGGGGAAAAAACGCTATGTAAATGAAATCCGTGCCCATGTTAAAGAACGAGATTGCTAGAATGTGCTTGTTCTAGTGTAGATACTTAATCCTTAAAAATAGCCCTCACCCAAGACTTCAAGGAGGAATTCTCCAAGGGATGAACCTGATTACTTTTTTAATGGGGTGCCTTTTTTTTGGCGTTTTCTATTTTCTTTTTGTAGGACAAGCTGCATCTTCTGTACATAAGGTATGGGTAAAGAGCACTTAGCACATACATACAATGTCAACAGACCCGCCCAGTCTGTTTATCTCTAAGTATATTTGAAGTGGATTGCTGTTATGTGTTGTCATTTTAAATTGTGTGTTGGTAAAGCTACCTGTAAAATTTCAATCCAAAAAATAAAGCTCTCAGGGAGAAATGAATACAAACAATGAACATTAGAAAATATGCTTACCATTAACCTACTGACTCTTAATACCCTTAAATTATGATCTGTAAAGAGGACTGTTACTTTTTTTGCTTTTGCTTTATTTATTTGTAGTATGTGTTGGGGTGGCTAATGTTTTCTCTTCTCTTTCCATCTGTCCTGTTATGGTTGGGTTTCCTGTGGAGAGAGTAGTTCTTCCTGGTGCAAACAGTACTTACTAAATTAAATTTTTCAGTAAACTAACATATTTATTAAGCACCTACTATGTATGAGACATAGTAGAGCCAAGCTACAGTGGTAAACAAGACAGAGTCTCTGCCCCTGAGGACTCTGAGATTCTCTTGGAAGTTTCTAGGGACAAGCAGAACACTAGTGTGTGTGCTATACAGAAATCATACTACTTAGCTGGATATGGTGGTGCACACCTGTAATCCTGACACTTGGGAGGCTGAGGCAAGAGGAAGTTTGAGACCAGTTTAGACTACAAAGTAAGCTCAAGTCTCAAAAAGAAAAAGAAAAAAAAAAGAAACCATACTACTTAAAAGTAATTTGTATTAACTCTGATGCTTAGTGCAGATGGCAAGGAGTCTGTGCTGGGTGAAAGCTGTGAAATAGTACTCTTAAGCTGTCAAGAGCTGTGGTTTTACATTTTTTCCTCATTAAAAACTTAGCAACTTTCTACCCATTATGTGGAAGTAAATGACTGTTGCAAATACAGTCCTAAACACAAGCAGTCACACTCCCACGCCCCTATGAACTACAGACCGTGCTGAGAAGCCGTGGCCACGGGCTGCAGAAGCACAGAGAGGAGGCGGCTGGAAAGATGGTTTTCTGTTACTTAACTAAAGTGCCTCTATGTATATTCTTTTCTATTCATAGCTGGAGTAATGTGGTCTGGCTCAGTTTTAGAACTGTTTTCAAAATGGCTTCATCTTACAGTTTAAGGAATGAGCAGCGGAAGGAGTGGCGGTGAAGGAGGGTCTGTGTAGCGAGCCCCCCTCCGGAGTCAGCCTGCTCTGGGCGCGGCCTTGCTGGCGGGCTCCTTCGCCGCTTTCACTATCGGTTTCTTTGCCTAAAAACTCTGTGCAGGTAATTCAATGTGCCATCTTGGGGGGAGGGGGCTACTTTTTAGACTGGTGCTGGTGTAAGTAGTCACTTTTTTTCCTTGGGGGTGTATTTTAAAGATTGTTTGTTGTTTGTTAAATTAATGCCAAAAAGAAAAAAAGCATTTTAATTTGTAAACATAGTTATGTGTCTTGTATCTTATTAGCTTGGTAGTTTGAACCACTTAGTCTTTAGCTAACAGGACTGCTGTTATTGTACCAAGAAAAAACTGTTGTATGTGTTATGAGACTGTACATTTTTTTAAGATAGCAATATGCAATAAAGATGACTTCATTGGGTGTATATATACATATGCTTTCTATGAATTATTAAAATAGCATCAGCCAACCTCTTTGTGCGTTTCAGCATTGAATTAAAATATTTCGAAGCGTTCACTAAGTCAGAAATACTAAACTTGTACTTAGTGGATCAGAAAGACTCTGTCTCTCTCTGTGGGTAACACTCTCAGGTGTTTGTTACTCTGGGCTACCTTTTTCTCTAGTTTTGTGTTATGTGTGATAGGGCTACTGATGAAATTATTCACCTGGGGACATAAAAATTCTCTTCTTAAAATCAAACTTTTTTATGTTGATATATTTCCTTTTTAAAAATCAATCAATTTTGATGTTTGTAATCATTGAGGAAAGTGTCACCTATACACACTAACAAATATGTTTTATAAATACCCTCAGACATCGGAGACTTTGCCTTGGTCCTACCTATGTCACTGTGGCTGCCCAGCCACCATCACTCTGATTTGAGGTCAGGCTGAAGACACAAGCACTCCATACACTAACCCTTTTGATATTTGCAACACACGCACAAAGCTTGGTGGCTGCTGACCATTGTATTTTCCATCAAGTCAATAATGACTGCGTAGTAGCCAACAACTCCATTGGTCTCAGAAGCTGACCTTCAGCTAGGAGAGACTTTTCTGCACACCACACAGCTCTCTTACTCCATCCTCCGAACTGATGCAGCATTGCCCATTTGCACATTCGCGTGTGGAGCTATGGACATTACTGTCTTGATCCTGCTTGCTCTTGGTGTATTGGTAGAAATGCAGGAAATGAGAAACTTGAAAGTCATTTCACTTCAGCTCTGTCAGCAAAGTGGAGTTCCATGATCCATGTGAAATCTTAATCCTTTTCTGTAACCTTATGTGAGTTAGGTGAGGCCAACTGATCATCTTTATTCAGCTAGTTTGGGGATAATTATTCAACGTGCAAAGTTTAAACATCTGCTGTTTGCTGTCAAGTGGAAAAACACAAACTCCCAAAACTTAACAGATCCATGATACCATTTAGTTCCATAAACACTAGCTTTGAGAGGCCCTAGACTCTGTGTAAAGAGGTTTAAAGTTGGGGGACCTATGCTTTTGCATTAGAACCATTTATAGCCATCACTGTGCTGAGTTGTTGCTTGCTTCCTATGCAGTTATTTTAAATCTCATAGATCCCTTGTTCCTCTTGTGATAGGTACTCATCTCAGGTCGAGAAACCTATTGAGTCTGATACCTTAAAATCTGTGAATTCTTTTCCTAGAGAAATTTGGGGCTCTTGAAGGAGTTTCTTGTCTAAAAAGAGTTTAGTATTTCTCATAGCAAATGCCAGTCAGTTACTTTTTTAAATCTGGCTTGTGAGGAAAACATCAAACCTGGCCTTTGATCTCTTCCCTGATTTGCTTTTATCTACTGCCATCAGTTGTTTCCATGTTATCAAGCAAGCAAGATGAGCACAGGACTGCACATCAGGGTTTTTAACAAAGGAGATCTTTATTTTTATCACCCCTTGGTTTGGGGTTTTCAAGAGAAAGAGCAAATTAAAACAACAGTGAGATATCACTACACACCCAGAGGGGCCAAAATTCAGACTACTGACAACGACAAGCACTAACAAAGGTGTGTGGAGCGACAGGCGCTGACTCCCACTGCTGCTGGGGATGCGGAGTGGTGCAGGTGCTCTGGAGGACAGTGTCATGGCTGCTTGAAAACCAAACATATTCTGCAATGTCTTTCTTTCCTAGTTGCTGAGATGCAATACCTCACATCAACAAATCAAAAGAGGAAAGGTTTATTTGACTCAGTTTGTAGAGGTTTCAGTCCATAGCTGTCTCCAAGGTGGGGTGGCCTGGCAGAGGAACGTGCTGGAGAGGGACTGCCCATGGAATGGCTGTGGAGAAGCAAAGAATAAAAGGGGGGGGGGATAAACTTCCAGGCCACACGCCCTGGACCCACCTTTTCCTACCAGATGCCACCTCCTAACAATCAGCTAATCCACTGATGAGCTTCACACACACCCCCGTGGACCAGTCACCTCCCAAGAGCCCCTCCTATGAACACATGAGGCTTTGGGGGTACTTCTAGATATGAAGCATAACATTCTACCGTTATCCCCCAGAAGACTCATAGGTACTCCTTTATGCAAAATCTATCTCTAAAACTTGCCAAAATCCTAACAATTTCAGCATTACTGAAAAGTTCAGTCTCCTCTGAGACTTAGGTCAAACTCTTAGCTGTGAGCCCCTGAAAAATCAAAAGAAAGTTAACACACTGCTGACATACAAAGGCATCCCTGTTCCAGAAGGGAGGAAGAGGGATAGGAAGGAATGGGATCAAAGCAAAACCAGAACTCAACAAAGCATGCATTGCAACTCCATGCAAATTGTTAGATAGGAACAGTAAAAGGTTTGGTGGCTCCACCCCATAGTACTGCCAGTGCTTGAGGCCCTCATGGCTTCTCTCTTGGGATGAATCTGCTCCTTCCTCTCAGCTGTCCTCAAGCATCCTGTGGTTTTTCAACTTCTGGGATCTCCACTGCACTTTAGGTTTCACACAGCTGCACATACTACCCTCTCAGGAGCACACTGCCTGACCTCCCAGGTCACCTTCTGAAGCCTAGGCAGAAGCCTTCCAGACTTCACAACTCACATTCTGCATCGTCCTAAAATCAGCACCACACAGACAATGCCAGGGTCTGCTGCCAGCTGGAGCAGTGGCTGGACCCTTTTGTATCTTGCTGGTGGTTGTAGAGACCTCTACAGACTTGGAAGTGCCTGGATGAATTCAGAGGAATCAATTCCCCAGGCTGCCTTCTCCAACAGTATCCTGGGCTCTTTTCAAAGCTAAATCTTTCGCGTTTGCAATTTTCAGCCTGTGAAAGGAGGAGTTTGTCATTTCCCAAGATGCCCTCAAGCCATTTTTCCCCTTGTCCTGTTGTAAAGTACTTAGCTTCTTTTTAGCACTGATCTTTTTAGCAACCAAGTTCTTTTCTACTCCATCTTTGCAGACCCCAACTTTACCTGAGTTTCCTAGCCAAACTCAAAACTTCTAAAAATCATTCAGCTGAGCTGCTTGCTCTTGATTCTCAAAGTAGAGCTTGCTAAAAGCACCTGACAGTACCCTAGCCATGGCCTGAATGTTTGGCTACCTTGAAATGCCCTCCACCACATTAATTAGTCTGCCACCCATAATCTCAGTTAACACAAAGTCTCAGACAAGACTAAAATGTATATAATTTTTCTACCAGAACATGACACTTAATCCCAACTGAAACCTCTGAGCCTGCATTATGATCAGCATTCTGGTCTTCTGAGTTCAGATCAGTACGTCCCATCAAGCTGGGCTTACAGCTTGGCAGGCTGCTTCTGTGGCCAGCATCTTCACTCTTCTAAACTCACATAAAATAATTCCAAAGGCTTTTGAACCACATAATCAAGGACAGTCATAGCCTCAGTTCTCTCATACAAAATCTTATTTTCCTTGCTGCTGGGACAAAATACCTGGCACCCATAACTTAAATGAGGAAATATATATTTTGGCTCAGTTTGCAGAGGTTTGAGTCCATAGTCCCCTGGCTCTACGTCAGAATGGCATGGCAGATGAACATGGCAAAGGAGGGCTGCTGAATGGGAATGGTGTCAGAAAGCAGCAAAGGATCAAGGGAGAAGAGAGGGAAACAGACCCACCCAGGCCACACCCCCAGCAACCCCTGTCTCCTCCTCCCAGGCTTCCCCTCCCAACATCACAGTTAGCCATGAACTCATAGTGAACTAGACCACGATCCATTCACCCACAACCCCTACCATGGCCATGCAAGTCTTCAAGGGGACTAGACATAAAACACAATGCCTCCCACCCAGAAATTTAGCCAAATGAGTTGAAACTTTCTGTCAGCACAAAGCATGCACACACATGTTTACAGCAGCTTTATTCATAATTGCCACAATTTAAAAGCATCCATGATGTCAGTAAATGAGTATATAAACTATCATATGTTCGAACAATGGAAATTTATTTAGTGGTAGAAAGCTATCAAGACATGGAAAAAAATTTAATGAGTGTAATAATACTCATTAGGGACGTAATGAGTAAGGGAAGCCAACCCCAAAAAGGCTGTGTACTGCACAATTCCTTGCATATGACATGAAAAAGGCAGAACTACTGAAGCAGTGAATAAAGACGACAGTCGCCAGGTGGAGGGGGTGGAGGGATGAGTAAGGGGAGCACAGAGCATCTTCAGGACAGAAACAATACTCTGTAACAGTGCAGTGGCGGATACATGTTGTTATACATCGGTTCAAACCCATAAAGCACACAACACCAAGAGAACCTCAGCGTTAACTACGGATTCCAGATAAGAATGACATGCTGACAGAGTGCATCCAGTCTAACAAATGGACCCCTCCAGGAGAGAAGCCTGCAACACTGGGGCCAGGAGAGGGTGTAGGGAATCTAGGTACCTTCCTCCCAGTTTTCCCATGAACCTAAGTCTGCTCTAAAATATAAAGTTTACTTTAAGAAGAAAACATAAGAGAAGTCTCTGTATATGGCCAAGAAACTTTCCCTCAATCAAGCTAGGTGTCGCCACTTCTTAAGCACACACCCCACCACCTCCAGCCCCTCTGCTAAGTTCTACTTGGAATTTTTCATGCCCTTTTGACCTCTCCAGTTTATTTATATCTGGCTGTATCTCAAACAGCAAATCCAGCAGGGCAGTTTTTCACAGTACTTTCTTGAATTTGCGCGCACACAGCCACTTATCAAGACTTTGGCCCAGTCCCTTGATTACCTCTTAAACAAGCATCCATTCCTTAACTCTGTAGAAGCCAGTGGGCAAAATAGTAAGAGTCAATCACTCGTCCCTGTTAGGCAGTTCAGGTTATGAGTCCTTAAGATTTACGCTTTAAGGTAGCGTTTGCAGGTTGAGAGCCCTTAGGGAGCTCTCAGGACGTCTTCTCTGCCTCCTTCCTCCTTTCTCACCTCCCTCATCCCCTTCCTTCCCCCAAACCAGCTTCATCAGTTACTATACATCAAAAGGCTCTTGAAATGCCTTCTGCAGAAAACAGAC